TTGGAAATGGTGTAATTTAAGGGAAAAAGTCATTCTATAAAAAGTGCTTGAAATTAAATAAAGAGTTGATTTAAGTAAAAAAATCGGACATTATGGTCCGTTTTTACAGCGTCAACATAACCCTCAACGAGCGTCTTGTTTACATTGATGACGTAGGTGGGTACAAATCCTCAAGATGCAAACACCTCCTTTTTTTTCTCTATGATGTTAGTCTCATGCTATGAATCTTTACCTTCCTTTTATCCTCGATGTAAGTTTCTGCGGTCGGTAATAGTAAACTTTGCAAATTCGTACCTTTTCAGTTCTTCATTTTGGACATTAGAAATTTCACAATTGGACGTATTAGTGCTAAAAGGAACTAAAAGCATAAGGGTTGCATGCTACTAGTTCCTTTTAGCATTAATTGGTCCAGTTAAGTCTTGTTCACTGCAGTCTAACTCCCTTGAAAGTAACAAGTCAAAATTCAGCGGTCAATAAGTTACAGGACAAACATTTATCCATTTCTGCAGGTAGAATCTCGAACTAATAGTAAATTATACCTACTGTCTAGTCCATTCTCTTTGCATAGAGCTTTGATTTCTTCTTGCTGGTAGAATTTGTTCAGCACTTTGAGTACCTCTCCCTTATTCAAGTTGCCAGTCAACTCAGCGCCAACATTGATATCGTCAGGGTTGGGTTTTACAGCAACAGGCTTGAACAACTCAGACAGATTTTCGTCTTTGCCTTTGCTTGGTGTTTTCCTGGAGAAAAAAGCTGAACAAGTTACTGCGGGGTTTTTGTATGTGATGCAGAAATCGAACATTTGATGATGTCGGTGGAGGATGGATCTGAATTTTTGACAGGCCCGGAACATAATGCACCAAGTTAAATGTAAGTTAAGGAGGTAAATACGATTTCGGAAGTAAAAAAAGAAAACCTTACTTTCATGACTGCGGAAAAAATAATTTCTACCACTACTTTCAGATTTACATAATAATCATGTTGTTTCGGTCACATGCTGCCAAATATGAGGTTAGATCTTTGTTGTGAAGAAGTTGCAAAAATCCTACTGAAGAGAGCGCAGCTTGCAAAGTTTATTTTGAAAATAATTTTTCAGGTTAGTTTTTCAAGATTTCAATGATTTCAAGAGCGAATTGTTGTGGAATTGTTTTCATTACTGCACTTGAGCACTGCCAATCATGATTTTTTTATCTTAAAAATTGACGTCAACGATTACAGTACTTATAGTTGAATTCAAATGAACATTGAAAAAGCATCTGTCCCTCCATAGTAACATTTTATCTGTAAGTATCCAGTTGTTTGATTCTTACTGTATGTAGTCGGTTGACTTTCTGCAATATGGTCATCAATACATCAAGTCAAGAAGCGTATTTTGGTTGATGATCGGTCGAGCAAAAGTGTCGCAGTCGAGCAAACTGGGCACTGTTGTTGTTGAAAGCAGTCGTCAGAATCCGACCAATCAGAGATGAGTTTCGAAAAGTTTGCCGGGTCATAAGAAAATACGAGAAAGTACTAGACTAGATTTATTTTAATAAATTAACAAATAACAGGTACACTGGTAATGAATCGGAATATTTGGCGGTCTTTCTTACATTTAGAGGTTAGGCATTCGGCATTGATGCTTGTTGGATGCCATCGTTCACATGGGGTTACTCCGAATCCTACATTTTGTAGGGTTCACTTTTGGCTCCAATGTTTGTAAGAATTCCACCGTTCATCTGTCTGGTGAGTCCCGAAAAAGTTTGGTCGCGTCAAAGCAAAATACGAAAATAGCATGATCCACCCATTTTGGTTCGACCGATCATCAACCAAAATACGCTTGAATTAGTCCAAAGCAGGCACAAATTATCCATTTTTGGGCTGGTCCAGTCAAGGAGGTACTCGCAAGTAGAATTTCCCAAGCTGCCGCCTCCGATCAGGCTGAAAAAATTCTACAAACACTTTTGATGAATCCATTAGGACCATGTTCTTTATGTTCTTTGAATGCGCCCTGGTAACCCCCCCCCCCCCAAAAAAAAATTCTGAAAAGTCTGGTTTTGAGTTTGTGCGAGGTGAAGTAACTCTGTTTCCCCGCGCCCAGCCCTCTCGGAGTGCATTGTCAAAACTGGACTTTTCGGAACTCTTGGGGGATATCTCCGGGGGATGTTCCCAAAAAACAAAAAAACTTGGGCCGAATGAATTCATCTAAAAGAGTTGGTACAAATTTTTTCAGCCTGATTGGAGGCGGCAGCTTGGATAGTTCCCGTTGTCAGTTATCTGGCGTATCGGTTCATGTATGGAAAGACAATTGGGGGAATTGATATTCCCAATGACCTGGTAGCCAAGGCGACTAATTAGAATGTGGCCATAGGCATAGAGCTGTAGTATTTTACTCATTTGACTGCGACCAATGATGAGACAAATAATAGGCTTTTGAAAGGAAATAGCCATCGAAGTAACTGACAAGACTGTTGAAATCATCAAATTGTTTGACAGTTGCAGTCTGTCAGCTACCAAGAAATTCATAATTCTTCGATAGTGTGTTGTTGCGAAACTACACACAACTCGGAGCCATGTAGAGATCAGCTGGCATGGTGCACTCCAAAAGTTAACATAACAGGTTTCATAGGACATCAATTTTGAGACGCCGATGGTGGGGTGTTCCCTGATTCTCGTGTGTTGTTTCCAGCTACACATCCAACATGGGGTCGGTGCAGTCGCTTTACCTATGTATTTACAAAAATAACCCTGAATAGATGCCTCCCTTCCCGCCCGCTCGTTTGGCTTGATACATACGTAAGACTTGCATCAAAGAAAATGGGTATCCACTCTCCCAAAAAATTTTGCAGCAGGCTTGGCAGTGACAGAGATTGCAACAAAAATTTATTTTTCAATTCATTTCATCTAGCTAAATTGAAACATAGAATTGGAGGGAAAGGGAGCTCATTAAAGAAAAAAATAAGATGTCAGAAGCATTTAGAAAATGAGTTTTTTATGAATGATGTTTTTCTTATAATAAGTTAAGAATCTAATATACTGACCAAATGTTGGAAATTGAGAAGATTTGGTTGAAAAGACCGGTGTTGACAGAAGAGCAGCATACTAGAATTGATTTGTTTTATTGATCTTCCACACTTAAGTACTTAAAGAATCAATTTTGCAAAAGATGAATCCTAGATTCTCTATCACTATCACAGAAACAGTGAAATGTGTGGCTTGATAGAAAGACATCTTCCTTCTTTTGAGTAATCACCCTTTTAGCAGCAACCTGATGTTTTGTTGACACCAAGTGATGACGAGAAGCAGAGAAAAAACACAATGGCATATTTTCTTCTCGATAATGCTAGGGTTAGAGCAGAACATGGAGATTCTGGCTCTGTCTGTTAGCTCAGATTGTTTCTTAAGTAAGTAAATTTAAGCACCACCTCTTTGACCTAAGTGTGTGTGGTCTTCTCAAACTGTGCATTCAACATGCATTGCAACTATATGATCTCATTAATTCCTGACCTCCAACAATTTATACTTGATTCTGTTGGAATCCTAAAAATGCGAAGTTTTATAACGCTTAGGTTGACCGGGAATATTATGTTTTAGAAGAAGCGGATTATCTCTAAAAAGCTCAAAAATCTCAGTATATTATCAAAGTGTTTACATGCTATTTTCAACACAAATTGAATAATCCCATGAGCCTCTTAATCAGGTTCATACCCAAGAAAGCTTCTAAACGTACATTTTTCCGCCTGTTTTGATTATTACACTCTCAATCTTTCATTGAAACCAAGGGTGTAATCTCTTACGCAGGAAGGGGCCAAAACTTCAGAATACTGTAGTTTTTAAACAGTCAATTTTACTGTCAAATTTTCGTTCACCCTGTTTCCTATCTATATTTACTCATGAGTATAACATTGTTAATCCTATTCAAACAGATCTCCTCGGTGATAATTTTTAAGCTCATCTTTCCTGTCATGTCCCTCTTAGTAGATAATTTTATCTCGACCCGCAATATCATAAGTAAACAAATGAATTTATCTTTCTTTGCCTGTCATCTTAGTGCTTTGCTCATGTTTAGTATGTATCAAGGCTTTTTTTTGACATTTTTGCCTCATTTATTTTGATCTCTCTTTCCAGGGAACTTTTTCTGCAGCTGTTGTCAGATAAACTATCTTCCCTCACAAAATGGCTGAAAATTCGGCAGGAATGCAAAGAACTGTCGACCAAAACCAAATTTATTCGAATCTTGTTGATATGTTTGATGGATTTGTTCCTGTAAGCAAAATTCAGAAAATCGTAGAACAAAACAACTACAATTGTAAGTACTACATTTTGTTCCGTTCCTCAAATTGTCTTTCTTTTTCAAACTGCTCTAGATGAAATTAATCAACCATGGATTTAGTAGGTAAAAAAGTGTTGTTGCTTGATAAATTAATAAAGTTACAAATAATACCTCTACTGTGGATATGGATGCTTTTGGGGTGGATACTGTGACTTTTGCTGTTGTTTCCTGAGATGATGATCATTTTAGGATATCCTAATGCCCAATGTGTGAATCTTAATGTAAGTAAAGTCCTTTTAGCATTGACGAATCCATTAATGAAGATACACGCATAATGGAATCTGTGAGGTCTGAATTTTAAGTTGTCATTACAGATCAAGTTTTGCATCAGTAACCATTTAAATCAATAGTAAAATTTTTAAAAGAAATCATTTTCCTCACGTTTGCACATAGGCACTATGAGTGAAGTCTATGCAACTTTTGATTTTGAGAATCAACGCTTTATAGCAGCTCGACTTTAAAATAACTTTCAAAGGCTCAGAGTTGTCCAAAGCAATTCTGCGTATTGAAAAGATAAAGATTAGGTTGAAGGTCCAACCCTCTCACAACATCATGTTGCTATATCTTTCTTGAATTAAGTGTATCTTAATCAACTTTATAAATCATCATTGCTGCCAGTTCTCATTGATTTTTTCAATAATCATAGCAGCACAACACATATAATTTACACATACACCCCTAATTTTTATTCTCTTTTTAGTGGATCAATCACTGGTGGCCTTATTACAACTGTCAGAATCTGTTAGTAAAAGCACCACAGCTTCAGAAAGGCAAGGAAAAAAGAGCTCATCTGATAATTTGAAAACTCCCTCAGATAATAACTCAAACGGTACAAATCCTTTTGGTAAATCATTTCCACCTCCTGACAGGAAAACAGAAGCAATGAATGATTACAAAGTAGCAAAGCAGAAAGAAAAGATGGACTATCCAAGAGTTCAAATGGCATATCAGATGCCATCTCAAAGGAACGCAGGGTACTCTGATTATCAAAAGAACACACATTTCTATCAAGGCTCTCCTTTACAATATAAATCTACCCAGCAATTTGAACAGTCTCCTCATAGCAGATACAATCGCAGCTCTTACTCTTATTCTGTAAGGAATCCAAAACAAGGAGCCCCCATAGTTCAATCGAGCAGTATCAATTCGCAAACGACGAGTAATTCTAGTGCTTCTTGTCCATCTAGTCCAGCTCGCTCATACTCTAATTTAGATTCTCCAAAAAGCAGTCCAAGAGAGATTGAAATGGCAAAAACTTATGACAAGGTATATAAAATTGTCAATGATGGGTATAAAATTATGGTTCTCATGCGTGGCTGTCCAGGGAGTGGGAAATCACATGCCGCTCATGAAATAATTCAAACTTTGTATGGCAAAGTAGAAAATCCAAAAAAATACATTTTTAGTGCCGATGATTTTTTTATTAATGCGAATGGTGTATATAATTTTAACCCTGAAAATCTTGGCCAGGCTCATCAGACAACTCAAGCAAAAGTTTTAAACGCTCTGAAGGCAGGAATAACACCAGTAATTATTGATAACACAAACACACAAACATGGGAGATGAAAATTTATGCTTCGATGGCAATTTCATGGGGTTACTACCTAGAAGTCCTAGAACCCCTCACAAGGTGGAAATGGGATGCAAAAATGCTCACGCGAAAAAGCACCCACAACATCCCATTGTTCAAAGTAAGAGACATGCTGGAGAGGTATGAACGGGACATAACAGGCGAAAAATTACTGGAGCTAACCTCAGCCTCGTACCCTCCTCTTTTAACCCCACCTCAGCTTGCATCTAATACAACCAAGAAGAAATTTTATGACTCTTTGAATGCCAGCAATAAATTTACCAAGGTAGAAAAAGTTGAGAAAGCTGTGAATCAAAACATAGCCAGTGTAATGCAGTCGTTTTTACAGAATAAGCCATGCAAATCTAGACAAGAAAATCGTCCTTCAATTGAGCAACAAGAAGAATATCCCTCATGCAATTCCTCTACGGTAGATACCAAAAGCTCTGTTTCCAATCAGACTGTTGTTCGGAACTCCACAGAAATATTGAGTTCATCAAGTAAGCAGTTTTCCGGATCCGGAGACCACTTGTCTAAATCCGCGTCTCAAACGCATATGTGTGAAAATCAGATCATACCTTCTGAGGAAAAAGAAAAGAAGCCTAGGAAACTACGTACTAGGAGAAGAAAGAAAAACTCTACCAATCCTGATTTTTCCAATGATTATGTGTTAGTTACAAACGGCCAGCTTATCTATCAAAGGGATTATTCAATTTATGCAGATACATGTGCAGTGAGTGATGGTAAAACTATTGAAACTACCTCAGTTGGTCTGAAAAATACAGAAAGCTCAAGCTTTCCTGAAGTTTTGAGCCAAAGCTCAAAGGGAAGAATTATACCCACTGCAGAGGTATGCGATCATCAGTCGCCATCGAGTTTAATAAAACCTAAACAGAATAGTTTTCACTCCAGTTCAAGCACGTTAACCAGTCTTGTCGCGTACAGTAGTAGTGACTCCTCAGAGTCTGAAGAAGATCTAGCTCAGCCAGACAATGTAAGCTGTTTGATTGATAATGCAAGCTCATCGGAGGTCCTTCAAAAAGTCGATCCATACACTAAAGAAGAGCGAGATCTTATCACTGGCGGGAAAGAAAGTAATAATACTGGCCATGAATCTGTGACACCTTTTGATGGTAAGTAACTTTTGATTGGATTCTAAAATTGGCTTTAAAAGCATGATGGTGACTTTACGGTAGGTCTGAATGCATGGTGAGAATAGGGACTTCAGCTTCAAAGCAGTAGGGGGAGGGTAGTCTAGGGTAGCTAAACTGTAAGATATCCATGCTTCTTTGGGAAGGAAAGAGAAAAAGAAAAAAAGAAGTGAACGAACAGGAATATCAATGAGCCATTATATCTTTATACACTTATTCTAAGCAGGCAAAGGAAAATAAGAAAACAATGGTTTTATTCAGTGAGGTCAACAATAGGCTTAGCAAAGTCTCATTACCTAGTCCTTCTGGGGGTTCTGTCCTAGGGTTGAAGGCGTCCAGAATGGTAATCGGCAGATTAATTTAGATTGAAACTTCCAATATCAATGCTTAACACTACTGAAAGCATTAATCATTATATTTTACAGGCACCAATTGTGGCAGTTTTATTTCATCTTGCTACAGTAGTCGCAAATTCTGAGTGTATTTGTAGTGGAAATTGTTAGCCAAATAGCTGCAAATTAAATTTTAAAAATCGAGCCAAAGAAAAATAAAATTGTTTTAAATCTAAAACTAACCGTAATCATCGAAAAAAAAAAAAAAAAGGCTTTGTGAGATCTGTATCAGGGCATAGTCCTTAATAAGTCAGACCGTAGCTCTAAAGCTTTCAAAGCTTTGATATTTAACAATGCCATATGTACTGTAAGTGAAACAAATTGGATCAAACTTTTATCATCGGCCAAAACTTTTCAATATTTTCATGAGCAACCTCACATAAAGCCTCCAAATTTTGCGCAATATCTATTTTCAGAAGTTAAAAGGTGATTTTATTATCTAACGTTACTTTGTATATTTAATTAAATTAATTTAGTTGATTTAAATCATGTAGATAGGTTCAAGACATATTCTTGCAGTAGTTACGTTTTACTTACATAAAATTTCTTTCTTTTAAAAAAAATGAAAAAAAAAAGGTTAAAAGGAATGGCAAAAACTCAGAGGAGCCAAACTTTTTCTCAAAAACTTATTTGTGAAACTCTCTAATATAGATGTCTGCATTGATGCAAGTTTATATTGTTGTCCAGGAACAGAGGTGCTCAGTGATTTGAACGATGATATTGATTTTCTTCAAACATGGGAAGCAAACAACAAAGATGAAGGTATCGAAGAGGGTGACAATGAGTATCATCCGAAACCTCCTAGAAAACAGTTTAATCTGACTTCTTTTTCCAACATCCATGATGGTAACCCTCCTCAGGAACAAACATCAAATGACGACAATCATCAAACATCAAGAATTGATGGTTCAGACTGGAATGCGGAAGCTGATCTTCAAGCAGTCCTTAATAGCTGGGGAGAAAATTCGGAAGTTTCTGCTGAAAAAATGGTAGAGAAGTTTCTAAAGAGCTTGAATGAACCTACAACTAATATTGTATCATTCCCTGAAATTAAAAATACCGATACTCATGATGCATCCACTTCAACAGACTATGAACAAGTTCTTTCTGCCTTACAAGGTGACACATCTGGTTGTCTTATTCTACAGTGTTGCAATAGAGATATCAACGCAGGTGTGGAGCCTAAGGGAAAAGTAGAACTGCAACAGCGCTTACATCTAGATAAGGGATCAATGACAGAGGACTGTATTCCAATTGTTCAATCCTCGAGTGTTGATATCACTGACTTGAGTAAAGTATTTGCCCCAGAAGTTTGCGAATCAATAATAGGACTCATCGATTATTGTGATGGTGACATCAATGAAGTGATCAGTTCTTTAATAGATAGTGGTCATGAAATTTTACCGGAGCAGTTTGAAATCCTCGCCTCAATCCCGAAAAACTGTCTCAATATTTCATCAAATGAAAAGCTGGAGGTGTCGACCAAGAAAGAAACTAAAATTCTTAAAGTGGCTACTGAGCTGCCGAAACAAAAGGTGAAGCAAACACCCACAAAAGCCCAGCTAAAACTGAAGGAAGAATTTGAATCTAAAATAAAAATTAATCCAAGCTCATATCCCAAGTTTACGCAACAGTTAAAAAGACAGAGAGAGCAACAGCAGGAATTCCCGAGTATTTCAGAAAGCATGAAGGGCCCTGTTCCAGATGAGTCTCTGGTTTTTGTTTTGGACAAAAATTTTGTTGATCAGCTTCAACAGAAATTTGGACGCATTAACTTGCCGTCCAAGAAAGGTAAGTCTGAATAAAATTGTGCCTACTTATTATTTTCCTTTCATGCAGCTTTTTATCAGGAGCCTAGGGCAAATGAGTACCTAGTAACAAACATTTTTGGAAAAGTCGAGCCTTTTACATTTTTAATATGCTCAGAATAAGCGCTTTATCATATATGTGTCAAGAATTTGGTAGTGAAATCTAGTAGAAGATGCAAGATGCTCAACTCAAAGAATGCGGATGACATGGGAAACATGTGTGTACTGTTTTCTCATGGGATCTCGAAATGAAAAAAACTTAGTCACAGCTCATTTGCTTCAAGCAGCTTGTATGTAATTCTCCATGAGAAAAGAGATCCCAGTGCTGAAAAACTCAATTAAGGCTCTGGTATGATTGCATGAAGAAGCATTTTACGATGGTGTGAGAGATAATTATAAACGTCAAAGCAATTAAGTCTTATGGCGGCTGAACGTTTTCAATCCTAGAAACATTTTTAAGGCAAGATGTCCTTAATTTTTGCCAACCATATTCTGAGTTCAGCATATTGCGATTAAATGAATTAAATCATGCACAAGTTATACTGCCGGAAAATATAACATGACAGATTGAAAAATTAAGAAGTGGGTAAAGCAAGGCTAAAATATTTAAACACTAAAAAGGCAGGACATTTCTATTTGAAACAGTCTTTCAATGACACTCATTTTAACTGATTGTGAGGAAGTTTCCCAAAACCAATATTGACAATTGATCAGACTTTTCCTCTTCTTATATGTGTTCTAGATTGAAAGTACTCATTCTCTGAGTATTGATTTTCCAGAGGGGGAGAGAGAGAGAGAGAGAGAGCGCGCAACATAATTAAGAGCGAGTTGTTGTGTACACAGTGATGTGATACGATAATAGGTATACGTGAGTACAGTACACATGAGTTTATGCAAATTGAATCATTTTCTGTGACCTCTCCAAATCTCAAAATTAAAATTAATGGCCTCCCCCTTCAAAATCTTAAAAGAAACTTTGTTCCACAACTGATACCAAAATTTTGCATCCGTAATGTGCTCTCTTGAGCACTAATATTTATTTTCTGTGTCTGATAATCACAAGAGCACAATCAATATTGTTTGCATTTCTCTTATTTTCTTTACTCTCTCTATCGGTATGCTTTGTTCAAGACTTTTTGCTTGTGATTCAAGCAAACTTTTTTCTAAACAAATTGCATTTACTTCTTGTTTCAAGTATTTCTCTCCCCCGATATCGCTTTGCAACCCCAAATTTCATAGGCCAAATCTTGTTTGAATATTTGTTGTATTTTTTTTATTCCCACTTATTTGTTCATTTTTGTTGTGATGAAATATTAAAAATTTTACTCTTCCTTTCTTCTTATTTTTTTTTTGGAAGTGTGAATAATGCATTTAATTTCATAAAAATAAGTAAATAACTTTTTTTTTTGCTCTGCTTACTCAGAAATTGTTAAAAAATAATCAGAAAGCAAGGTTTTTGACAGTTGCATATCTTTTATCATCACAAATTTTTTGTTTCAACAAGTTCTTCAAATGCTTGAAATGTTTTCATTACTTTCAGTCATAGTGTAATTTTTTGACATGAACCTTTTCATAGATCTTCACTGCCGAAAATTTCAAAACTCTTTTACCTAAAACATGTTTTTTTTTTTTGCAAGTGGTAAGGAAGATCCAAATACATCGTGCCGTTTTGAGTTCCTTGGATGGCGACAAGGTCAAAATGAGGTTTTTAATATAGAAAAACTAATTGATGCGCAACAGCCTGAAATGAACAGCATTTAGTGAAAGAGAACCAAACATTTAGTGGAGTGCTTGTTCATCCACTGCCAGGAGCTTCCACTAGAATCAATGGAAATTAATTTTCACTCGCAACCTATCTATGAATTATGTTTCACACTTACGCGCTCATGAAATATGTAGGTAGTTATTTGATCACTCCTCTGCGATACAATTCAGCACTTTTTCTTATACACAAAAAGGAACCAGCTAAGTAAAAAAAAAAACTATACCTATGAAACAATGTAAGCAAATCTAGAATGTTAAAGTATTCTTCATGTGGAGCTCCTCCAACTCCTGTCAATGAACAGACCTCTTCTTTCCCAAGCAAGTCGATTCTCTTCGTCCTTTTTATCCTAATTTTTTACTCTTTCAGATTGGAATCCTGTAGTGCACATTCCGTCCTCCCTAGCTTTTCAATTGTATGGTTGTGTTCTCGCAGCTGTTGAGGAAAATACTTCTAAAGAGGAACTTCTCATGCAAGAAATTATTGCCTCAGGTAAAGTCATACCTCTCTTTCACCTAATTTTTCAAAAAAAATTTGATCAGTCGCCTCTACTCCTTGTTTGGTACGAAAAATCTATTTTCCTCACAGTTTTACCGTAAAGTCGTACCGTGTCCGTTGTGTTGTGTGTCCCTTCTTATGTTTTAGTGCCTGTGGAATCAGAATATGATGTTAAAAATTTGCCTCCAGTAATTTTTTTAAGTCGATTTTTTCTGTTCATTTTTCTGTGATTGGAGGCGAGGATTTGTATTCTCTAAAATTTTTGTTGTATTTATTTTCTTCAATTTGTAACTTACTTGGATGCTACACAAGGAAACATGAAAAGTTCGAGTGTGTGCAAAAACATGGAGAAATTGCGCTAAAATCCTTTTGAAACCAATACTACATTAAAATGTGTGCATCTTTTGCTCTTGCAGTTCAATTCCACGTATAAAAGTTGAATTGTTTAAAAACTCATTCGCAGGGGCCAAATTTTATGAGGAACATCGGGCAAGCCGATTCGCCATCTTTTTTGGGAGGGGGGGGGATTTTGAGAGGGTGTCCCTGGAGGACTTTGAGAGGAGTTTGTCTAGAGGCTCTCTGGACCCTAATTGATTAATTAAAACCGTCTTCAGCGAGTCCTCATGCCATTTGCAGGTTAACCTTGAAATAAGCAACTCTTTGACTTCAATAACCTGGCTCAAATCCTCGGTTCTTCTCACTTTGATTTACTCAGTTGCATCTGTTTTTGTTTGTTTTACAGATCAAAAGTTGGCAAAGCAGATGCAAGACTCTGAGATTGATCAACGGCGTTCAACTGAGCTTGTAGACATCATGGATATGAAACTAGCTTTGCAACTCTACAATGCAGACCTTGTAAGTTATGATGGAATCAATAATGATTCCTTACAATTTTCAACGATTGAAAAATCTTAGGTTTCCGAAACATTGTATTTTTTAACTCATGCTCCTCTTGACATAAATGAGACCCTTATTCAGTTCTTGAAATTCATCTATTAAATGTCATAGTGGAGATGCTGTATATTTATTTTTTTAATAGCCAAGTGATATTAGTGAAACCTCATTCATACATTCTCGATGAGTCGCTGACTAGAGGCAAAAGTCATGTTTAGTGTCAGACTTTTTTTCTTTTTCCTATCGTCTTTGCTTTTTCGAAGTCTGACGCTGTAATTTTAACTATAGAAAATCCTCTCATTTTTTGTTTTCATAGCAGTAATTACTTTGTTTTTTGGTTACTTGCAGAAAGTCATGAAAGTCCGTAATCCAGAAGAAACTGTAGCGAATGCTCTTTCAAGGAGACTATTGTTCGAAATGTTTCCACACTTAGATAAAGACACATTAACTGCCACATTCCAGATGAATAACTGTTCATTCCATGTGAGATATTTGCTCATTAATATTAGTGTTTTACTTTTTGGCATGCATCCATGCATGGATGCAAAATTTCAAACAAAACTGGAGGAGAGCAGTCTTTGTAGATAAATACCGACTGTGATTTTTTCCCCTCTAAACCATCTAACTGTAGCGAGGTAGATGAAGGTCCAAGTTTACCAGTCACTGAAGTAAAGTGAAGTTTCATTGAAATAAGTGGACATCATTTGCCCAATGACCTCATTATTTATTTTTTTTCAAAAGAGTGCACGAAGACTTTCTCCTGTTAATATAAACTCAAAAGTATTGATGAGAAATAAAATAACCTTTCAACTCATAACTGCTTCATATCCATGATGGCAAATTACAAGGATTTAAGGGGCATGGGCAGAGATGGAAAGTGAAATTTTAAAGGCTTGAATAGATCTCACAAAATTTTTTATTTTTTAATTTTTATCGGAATCATTGATTAAACCTTGGGAAGTCCGGAAAGCGCTTCAGATGGTCTTCCTGTTGATGCGGCAGTTTGATGCTACCCTACTGAGGTGCTGTACATGAAAGGGGGCACGAAGGGGAGTTTAGAGAGAAATTTAGCCCCAATCTAACCTCTAAATCAAGTGAAAACATTTGCAGGTGACATCCACAACAACTCAAAAACTACTTTCAGGTTCTAAAATTTACTCAGTGGCGTGGGTTGGGTTTGGTGATAACACAAGCTGTAACAACCACCACTTTCGATGGGGGGGGGGATAAGATAATACTCTCATAAGGTATAGAAAGATCCGCAGGGCTTTCCCATTACAATTTAGTTAGTGTTTCTTTAGTTTTACCGTCTGAATGCAATTTACAAAACCCTTGTTTTATAAAGTATAACTAAAGTATGCTCTTTTTAAGGATACAATTCAAGTGATCTTGGGCAAATTTCAAGATGAAGCAGAACTTCCCCCAAATCTAGCTGTGCAGAAACAAACTATGTGTGTAGGCTCTCCATCTCCACAGGTACGTCCATCTTCATTCCTGAATATTCTGTTGAAATCTTCAATGGCGTTTTCTGCAAATAGGCACAAACAAGACAGAAAATATAGTATGTATGAATTTTTTGCCAACGTGCGTTTGCATAGAAAATATACCTTAGCTTTTATTTAAGAGCTAAGTAAAGAACTGCAGTCAATTGTGGGGTTCAAACGAATTGGCACTGGCATGCCACCGATCGCTTCTTCCGATTAATTCACTACTCTAAAGATCTATGTTTCACCCGTTAGATTAAAGCAAAAATCACTTTTATTGTTAACTTTATCGGCCATACTTTATCAAATTTTGAAATTTAAAGCAAAAATATCGTGATCTGTCGCATACTTCAAATGGTCTGTTTCTGTTTGAATAATTCTGGACGAAAGAACAATTTAAATGAGCAATTTTCCAAAATCCGAGCTCATTTCAATGGCATCTCATTTAACTTTTGGGTAATTATTAATGAAGAAACAGTTTTTATATGCGTTCAAAGTTTTATATGTTGATTAATCGATTACTCGATTGTGAGGTCATAAAAAATCCATACAGAACTCAGCTGATTTAAGACGTATTAATTTTTGCTCTCACGGCATTGCAATATTTCAACTCGCCTCCGGTCGATTAAATTAAATAGATAAACTATTCAAAGGAACATTGAATCGCTTCCTTATCTGGCACCCAAAGGCCGGAGATGTCAGCTTGTTCTCCAATAGAACCCATAAACTCCAATGATATTGAAGCACTTCGAAATGATTGCTTTCATTGAAATTTCTTAATATTCCAAATAAAGCAATCAAGCCTTGAAACACTTTTTTGCGTTTCATTTCGAGTATTTATTTAGAAACATTTCAGTCTCCGTTTTTTAAGAGTAATATTTTGATCTGCAACGGTAGATTGAAGCAGATAGCACGAGATCCATTTTATTTTCAAAGAGGACTTTAGAATATTTTAATTTTGGGTTTAAATGACAGTGGTAATACACTAAATCAAGATTCGAAGAACGTTTCTTGGGCAAATAACTTTCATTCACCCTTTGCTCAACCATGTCTATGCAAAGGACATGTTCCCTGTCAAAATTTAAGACAAGCTGATACAGTACAACCCTCTTGCTTCTCTCGGCAGACTCTTCCTCAATTTGAAGCCTATATATCTGGACTCCTTCTCCCAAAAATCTTGTTTTTGTGTTTGGAAGATGGATCTCGATCTAGTTCTCAAGCATGGAAATATTCTCTTCCTAATTTCAGTAGCAGAGAAAATATTTATTTTATGTCACATAGATAAGCTGATGATTAATGAAGGTTTTTTTTGCATGTAGCTGGAAGCTGAAGTGCCAATCAGGGACAATTTGAACACCATGGATGATCTCCAAGAATCGCAATCATATCACTACCATATGCGTACGAAATGTTTCAACCAAGCCAGGGATGCATATAATTCAGGAAAGTCACAAGTCGCGTCATACTTCTCTCAACTAGTGAGTGCATTTACCTTTATCGGGCTCTCATAATCATTTTCAGTGGTCTCTTAAGTTGACATTCTCATGAATGTACTTGGATTTTCTAGAAAGACCTTCGAGAAATTGATCTGAGACTCTCTTTACAGGAAGTGAGGGGTCTCTTACAAGAGATTGATGGCCCAGTGGGTTAGTTAACAAATCTTCACAGTGAATACAAAGGTAGTCCTCGATCACGTTGAAAGGTTGAGGATTGTTTTTTTACAAAGATGTGTATCATCAAGGTCTCTAACTCAGTATGTACCGAAACTAATATTTTTATGTGAAATCAATACCTGATAAAGTAGAATTCAAATTGACTGCACCAAGTACCATCAGTAACCTTTCAAGCATGCTGAATTTATTTGATGCAGATTTATCATGCCAGATTGGTGAGCAAAGAAAGCTTATTATTCATTACAGAGCTAAAGCAAATACCACACGTCCTTAGATCTGTGTGTCACGCGAGGTTTGAATGAATGAAATATAACAATCAAAAAGAACCAAAATTTCTCCATCTCACAGCAGTAGGCAATGCCATGTCCACAAAAAAAAAGCTCCACAGCTTGCAAAAATGTTTTTTTGCAAAAAAAAGCTCCACTCTGAAAAACTTTTAAATAGCTTCCGATACAGCTGTGTTGTAACTAAAAGCTGAAAAATTCACTTTATAATCCCTTACAAAATTGGCATCTTAAAATTTCCAGTTTTACAGGGTACCATGAAGGCTGTAAAGGGCATCACATGAAGAAATAAGGACCAGCTGGATCCTAACACCCTTGTCAAAGAACAATAATTAAAAAACAAATGGGTGTACAAGGAAGAAACAGAATTAGAACACAAGAATATAAAAAGCTAAGAAACAGAATATAAACACAGTCAGGACGTTTTGGGCCAATTACATGTCCATTCTCAACTGGAACAAAACCGGCTAAAATTTAAAAATCAAGACGTTGAAAATGGGCATGCAATTGGCCCAAAACGTCCTGGTTGTGTTTATATTCTGTTTTTTAGCCTTGTTTTTGTCTTTTTAAATTGAATGTTATCATTGTGAATTCGAGTTATTGCGTTGTTTTTCTCTCTTATCACTCCCATGTTAAATGTGCATTCCTCTTCATTTTTTCTATCGTCGAATGAAGCTTTTAATTTTGTATTTATTTTTTCAGGCCTTCCTTCACAAACAGAAAATGGAAAAAGCAAGCTCACAAATCATCAGGCTGGAAATCGATGGCAATTCATCTGATACCTTGGATCTGCATTTCTTCACCACCAAAGATGCCTTGTTAGCTCTAGATATCTTCCTTGACAATCATATACAAGACCTAAGGTCTCGAAATGTAACCTCTAAAATTTTTTACCTCATCACGGGGCGAGGAACTCACAGCGCAGGTGGAGTTCCTAAAGTTAAACCTGCTGTGATCAAGCGTCTACAAAAAAGGAACATCGGGTATGTACCAATGATTGTCATGGCACAAAATTTTATATTTTTTCTTTACCCTAATATTCTCTGAAAATGAAATGAAAAAATGTTATTAACACTCTTCTAAGCTCAGCAAGCACTGCGCCTCTCAGTCCAGGTTTTGGAAATTATTCTCAGACGTATTACCCCAGAGCAAAGGAAATTTCTTACCTAGATAATTTGTTGTATCAGGATAAGTATCATAGCGTATGAAGTGTGTATCCTAAAAGAATGAAAAGTGCTCATGCTGAGGTTTTCCTTCTGTGATTTTTGCTCAGCAATGAAGCACTATCTTAAAGAAATTAAATTTGGGCCAAAAAGTGAAATTGTGGCAATCAAGATGCATATCTTGCCAGTCCTGCAGGTTGTAATATCGTATTCCATAGTTATTTATCTCGGACAAAATTCACAGAAACATTCAGTCTGGAAAGATTCAAATTTTTAAATTTTCAACTTACAATGAGTCTGTTGCACCCAAGAGGTACAGCCACCCGATTACATTCTCTGAGGACAAATTCGCTTGAAAATCACGTTTGGCTCATCAAGAAGGTATAAAATCCTTAGCGTTCAATCTGCTTAGCTTATAATCAGCTTTTTTAATTTATCGCGTATGCGGGCAATTTTTCTTGGTGGCCGGCAGTCAGGTTTGCGCGGAGAGTGACCTTACTCTAAATAAAGAAACAATCTTGCAAACAGTCATGAACTCTCTTCGCATAAAATTTCAATCGATTCAAAGCTTTTGTTTTTGCAAAATGAAGAAAAAAAAGGGAAAAAGCACTTGAAACCGATGGGAATCATACAGTAGAAAAAGTTAGTGAAATCGTAGGTTCACTCAGGTAAGTTTCTCTTACACCTCTGCCTGTGCAAACCTGGTTGGAAGTGATTGTGAAAAACTACCCGCTAACGCGGGAAATTTGAAAAAGCGTTTCATAAACTACACAGATTGCGCATTAAGGAGTGGCTATTAGACTTAGACTTTTTTCATTTGTCCAACTTAATTTTCGTGCAAATATACCTGTAAGGAGTGTATTTATTTGGTTGTATCTCTTGTGTGCAACAGGTTCATTCAACTCTGCAGAAAACACAGAATAAGCAAAATTATATCATGTGTCAGAAACTATTCACTTTCTTTCCCGCAAAAATTTAAGGAGCCTTCTTATTTATTCTTCTTTTGTTTGTTGCTTACAGGTACAAGTTCGTAGAATCTAATCCAGGGCTCTTGAGTGTCTCAGTCCACAAAAATTTAAAACTTAGTTCTCACTTTCAAGATGAACCATAGTGAACAAAGCGTTTTTATCCCTCTTGCTGAAGCAAAGTAACATCCGGAATTAAAGCCGCGTCTCTTGATCTCTAGGAAGTGAGTGCACCACTCATATTAACGCATTTAAAAACTTAAAGAACAGATTGCATATTGCAAGGTGCAATATGTTCTTTGAGCAGATATGTTCTTTCTTAAATGTTCAAATGTAGATGTACTTATTTTTAAAAAAAGTGACCAAATGATAAGTCAGAGATCATAAAGTGGATACTAATCTGGAACAGGCTTTAGCTGTATCGTTGAGGGACTGAAAATTTAGAATATAACTTTTTAGCAAATTATACATGATTTTAGTATCAACGAATAATTTATGATTGGAGGTATAGCTCAATCCCAAAAACATTTCATTCAGTCTCTCTTTTAGGATATTTGTTAATTTTAAAGACTAAAAGTGCTGTGATGTTCTAATTTTAATTGTTGAATTTGTGCTTGTTTTACTAAATTTTCTATCTTTTTCATAAAAATTAGTTTTTAAGAATTTATGTTGTTAGTGTATCTTCTTGTCCAAAATTCACATATGAGTTTTCCTTTTTCTGCTTGAACCACCCAATAAAGTTCAGCCTCTGAACCTGAATATTGAAAGTGATCTGTAGGAATAAGTATTTCATTTGCGGTGTTTCAAAGTTTCAGCTTTTATTTTATGGAAGGAAAATATAACAACGCTTTTTCTTGAAATTTTCTTAGATTATTCTTTGCTTTAAGGAGAAAAATTAGAAAAGTTTTCAAGAAACAATGTGGATTATTTTTCTATTTAAAGAACAAAGTATGACAGGAAGTCTGCAACATCACAAACTGAGATGTGCATTCTTGCAGTTTCTTTGTCGATATATGCTTCAAGTCAAAATTTAGTCATTCTTAATCATCAAAGATTTTAATTGTATAATGGGAAGGCAATTGGGTTGTTCAAGAGATGGTCCGAATCCATATTTACAGGGCAGCTTAAATCACAATTAATGTATCGAATCAATTCTCTGTCCTTTTTTAAAAATGTATGGTGGATGAATGTTTGTGTGTACCATGTTAGTCATGATCATTCTGTTATATGTAAACCAACCTCTTTTCATGGATGGTCAGTAAGCGGATTGTTAAAATTTACCAGTTAAAAGGAGGCTTGCCACTAGAGTAGGCTGAAGTCAAATCTTCCATTCAAATGATTCTCTTCATTTCTCAAATATGTAGCACAAACTTCTTACAAATTGTTAGGACTTTGCCATTACTGTCTAATCAGTGTTAATTTTAGTCCAGTAGAGATTACCGCTTGACTCAACCAAATTAGTGATGTTGCCTGATTCCAGTTCAATTTCATCTTGACTTTCAATTTTAAACAAATTTCGCTGATAAGCCTCCAGATTAAAAAATGTCCTAAACGGCAGGTTTGCTTCATTGACTGAGAACTACCACCATGCTCTACCATATTACCACTATTCTGCCATGTAATTTTAAGTTAGTTAATAGCTCTTGTGTCATTTTTTGTTTTATATCGGCTAGTGAGTTTTATAGGGGTTCTTGTAAAGAAATATATATCGATGACTAAAGTTGAAAAATGCAAATCTACATCGCAACTTTTAGAAATCTCCGATTATGTTCGATTCTCTTTTTCCAGGAAACTTTACCTAAATATCCTCTTAAAATTTTCTGTGAATATATTTGAATGAGTAAAGAAAATGCACAGAAAATTCATAAACAAATTATGACTGGTTTTCCTTTGAAATAAATAAGAGATAATCGGACGTTTGTAGCATTTCAGTTGGATAATTATAGCTGGATTTATATTAATTCCAAAGCCATGGATGGAAAGTACATCAGATTTATTAAAAGAGCGTTTCCTGAGAAACGCTCATTTTTTACATTTTCCCCCCTGGTTTGCAAGTATCACTTCCTCCATTCACCTACTTCTTGTCATTGCGTGTCCAAAACGTTGCAATCGCAAAGTTTTAGATCCTCAAATCTTACTATTGTATCAGTTTTTTTAGGTAGGTGAAGAAAAAAAGTGTAACCTGTGAACCAGTGGGCCAAATTTATGAAAATCTGGAGATTATTTTAGAAAGCTGAGAGCATTAGCAGCCCTTTTTATTGATTGGATCAATTCACATTGGTTACGGAGGTAATACAACTGAAACAAGAGGTGTGAGAAATATTCGAAGTTTTAGACATGCTGTGACGATTGGATTAGCATTCCATCAATTCAATGATTTCCACTTAGTAACAGTGAATTATTACTTTTGAAGGGACAATGCAGGGCTATTTGCATCTTGAGTATCTTTTAAAAAATAGGGGTTTTATGAAAAAAAATGGTAGTGTATTGCTGATTAAAGTTATTAAGTTGGGATATTTCAATCTTTCTGTGCCTTTGGAACTTTTTTACCTCAGTAACTTTGATTGATGTGAGGATAGGAGGAAATGGGTTTTGTGTGCTGGCCCATCCTCATTTGGAAAGTTTCGAGTTTTCCCCATCTTTCTGTGAGCTCAAATATCTCTCGTGTTCATTAATAGTTTTGATGAATTTACCTTTGTTATTTTATTTTTAAGTATTCGTAAGTTACCTCTAGTATAAGAAAGTAATTTGTATCATTGTGTTATCAATTTTCTTGTTCCATCCATCTTTTATGAAGTTTATTTAATTAAAAATGTATAACAAAATGAAAGTTTACTTTTTTATATTTTTTTTAGATTGTGCGTACAGCTTACTCCGGTGTTCTGCAACACCCAAACGCCACATGTACACATGTACCTATCTTCCCAAAAGCTATTGGGCATCCGACATCGTAAAATCTTCTCGTCAATTCCCTGCTAACATTTCCTCATGGGATGTCCCTGTTGCCCTTTTCCACGAGTCACTTAATCCATAACTTGTTTGGGCAACCTCTCCACCAACATTCTTTGCATTCGCCCATACCATCTAAGTGCCTGGACATGACTGTCCACAAATTACTTTTAACCTTCATCACCTTGCGAATTCTTTTATTACAGACCATGGTTCCTTCTCAAGATGCTGGTAGACTACTGCTGCCAAAAATCCATCTCAGTTTCCCTCAACGAATTATTCAAGCAGTCGGTAAGGGTATGGGCATGTGCAGAGGATGGCTGATCCCTGGTTGCTGAAAAAGGGTTTGGAGTAAGTTCCTTCAAGCACCTATGTGTTGGAGAGGGCGTCCAGCTATGAGATGGCTGGAAGGCACCCAAAAAGAGATAGAGAGACGCTAGCCTCTGGAAAATTCTAAGAAGGTAACTCGACAGATTCCAGTGGCCGTTAGGCGTCGCAGAGAATCTTAGTGCGCTGTCAAAGCGGCTATTATGTACACAAATAGTCGACAGAAATTAAAAATGATCTAAGAATTTGTCTAGAATTCTTATGGAACTGTCAAGTCAATTGCATCATGCGACTGCTAAAGAGTCAGTGTTTTTCTTACCCTCAACAATTTAATGCGTTCGAGTACGCAGAGGAAGCTGGAATTTGAATTTGAACTAAAATGAAAGGCCTTACAATCGGAAGAAAATGAGGATAAGCAAATTTAAAAAACAAATAAAGGGGAAAAATGCATAGACAAATATCATGCTTTATCAATGACTGATTATCCTCTGAATTTCAATGACTGATTATCCTCTGAATTTGAAAAGCCCGCGTCACCCTGCGATAGTTGTGAGAAACTTCCGGAAGAGAGCAGCACAGTTGGCAGGCAATCAGTGTAAACAAAATTCTAACCTCCAAATATTGATAGGCTGAGTAGATGATGCAGTGATAAGAAAATAAGAATTATTATCACAGTTCTAGTGTCATTATAATTTTCACTTCTGAAAAGTCAGTCAATCTCAGGTTCTTAGTTTCAGAATTGCGAGTGAAATTTTTATGGATACCCCGGGTGAGCCATAAACACATTAACCTTTGATGAATAGAGGTATTCCTTCTCTCTTCCACCCAAAAGACACTTCCACATAGCCGCACCCTGAAGAGTTAAAGTTCATACACAAAGAATTAGTTCAGAAAACTCGTCAAACCACATGGAATTTTCTTCCTGATTTATCCACGTAGTCAGACTTATAGTCACTGAGTGGAATGCATTCTTTTTTACCAAGATGGTTGTGACTTGTGAGGCAAGGAAATCATCCACAGCTCACAGTAAATAAGTTGACCGACTAAAAGGCGGTTCATCTGGGGATCATGGAGTGATCAAACTGAGGTGTAACTAATTGCATTGATGTTCTGAGGAGTCTCTACAGGTTTGACCTCTTAGTCGGAAAAATGATGATGGTGCGTGGGTACGAGCAGGGGCGGTCAGGCAGGCAGGAATGCAGGGAAAAATTCCAGGAGGCAGAATGATGATTAGAGCAATTTTAGGATGTATGTCTTCTTCTAACATCATATAACAATTGTACTAGGCCAGTATAAGAACTGATGGGCTGATATTCCTGCTCAGGTACATTTTCGGTCTTAGTCCGCCCCTAAGTACGCACGAGTCCTCAGAATATTCAACAGCAAGAAATGTAAAATTCAGGAACAATGTAATTCTGTCAAGGATATAATTTTGCATTCATCGCTGAGATCAATTGCTGTATCGAATGCCATGTTTTATTTTGTGTGTAGCCAAATTTAGTTTTCATTTCTCTGAATCCTGTGACTAAGTATTTCAGTGTGATTCCATGATAATGCAAAGCAGCTATCATCATTTTTTGAGCTAAGAAGTTGAAATCAAAAAGTTGGAGTCAAACTAATTTGACTCGAATAGTGCACCGTAGTTTGACTACACCCATAACTTGAGACAAATTACTGTAGTTACGGTAAACACATAAACAGTAGATTTTTGCCGTAGCCATCTTGGGTTTCGTCCTTAGTGATAAAATGAAAACAACAGCTCCTCTGTCACATTCTAATAATGAATCTTTCAATTTTGTGGGGATGCCACAACCCTAAGATCCCAGCAGGGTTATCTCCCAAGAAGTTAGGAAAGATGTAAGGAAACAAGAGGAGTAAGAAGACTGAGATCTGCTAGGTTTTACTGTGCTGAGTAGCGTCGTCATTGTTAATAATTGGTGCTCTCTTTTGTATTGTCCCCCAGACATGAAGAAAGATCCAGCCATTGAAGATCTGAATACAGAATTAGACAAGCTGGGTTTCAAAGTCTTGCAATTGATGAATGATTACATAAAAAGTAAGGTGCAACTGGAACAGACAATTAAGAATGGCTGTTTAGACCTGGCCAAAGCCCGTTACATCCGAGGAGGTGCAGCCATATCTTCGCTTCAACTCCCAACTGAAGATAGCTTGGGTGTGAAAGCTCTGGCCAAAGTTGAGGCTCATCATGAGAGGACAGATGGTTGTACCTCATTCAGTTTATTGCATTTTGAGCCAACAATCTCCAACAAAAAATCAACAGATTCTGAAACTGACAGCTGTGCAGATGGAGACAAATCCTGTCTTGACTCTGAAAAAATCACCGATCCTTTAAAGTGGTTTGGCGTTCTAGTCCCTCAGAATCTAAGGCAAGCCCAAGCATGGTTCAAGCAAAGTATTGAATTAGCTGTGGACTGTACCAATATTCAAGTAAGTATTCAACATAAGAGAGAAGAGTTTTTGCGGTTGTTGAAATTGAAAAGAAGTTTAATCAGTGCTGAAAGCGAATTTAAGTGACTTCATAATTTCATATTATGGAAGAGCTTTTACCAGCGTATACTTCTTTTCAAAGTATTCTGTCTCCGACTGGATGTTGCAACATTTTTGCACTTTCTTCCATCCTCTTGAAAGCTTTTCTGCTAACCTTGCCCAGTCCCAAGTTTATAACTGCCGGAGGGACAAGATTGACTTAAATGGATGCAGAAGAGTCATGATTGAATTCTGGTCAGTTGCTTCTGTATAGTGCTGACCAGGCAGTACCAGGTTAGTCTGTGGAGCTATGGTCTAGGGCTCCAAGAGAAGGCTTTGAATGTAGAAATTCAGCCTGTGTTCTTGGAAAAGGCTTGATTAAAAAAGGCATAAAATCGTAATTTTAACATCTATAATCTTAATAGGAAGGACCATCAATCCTGTATTACAAGTGTTCATCAAGAGGCGTCCTCTCCCCTTTGCTCTTCATTAGGGGATATCTGGACTCATTTCTGCAAAAGAGAACCATGTACCTCTGAATGAATTCAATTTTAAGGTAAAATGGAGGCATAAAAATTCTAGGGCGCTGTTGAGCCCTGATCATTGCCCAACACACAGAAGTAATAATTTGCATTTCAACCATTATTATTTTTATATCATTTTAAGTACCTAATTCGTGTTTAAGTTTCCTAATGTTTAAGTGTTCAAGTGTTAATACTTTTTTAAAATGTAAATTCATTAAATAATTTCTTATGTTATTTTTAAAGGTGTTTGCTTTTTTCTCATTTTGCTGTCAAGATCCTACAGTTCCTTTTTTTTGTGGGAAATAATGTGCCCTATACATTTAATCCAACATCTCAACTGGCAATTGTTGATTATTTGGGCTTGGGTGTGCATTGATTAATTAATGCTTTTTGTTTGATCAAAGAACTGGACCAAGTATTGCAACTAAAATTTCAGTTTTAAATGTGATCTCTTGAAAATCTCCCAGAAAGCAATAAATCCAAGTTGAACATAAAACATAATTTAAGGCAATGCTGCAGAAGAGCATAGAATTCTTCTGAAAATTATATTTAAGTTATGCAAATTTTTAGGATATAAAGCTAGTTTTGAAGCAGTATTTTCATCTTTTCTCTAAGTTTCACATTAACTTACTGGTCAGATTCCCCTCTTACTTAAAAGTATGACCAACATCATTGCACTCCAAAATTGAATCAGTGAGAACGAAAACACACCAACTCTGTAACCCGAAAATGCTCAATTTTCATAAAGGTCATTGAAGTTTGCGCATCTGTTCCAGCCTTTACCTTTAAAATGACCCTAAGTGCTTGTCCTTCGGCACCAAAAATATTTTTCTTAGGCTAACTTCTTCAGCCACTGTGCAGTTATGTGTGTGTCTTGATTATTTTCATTTTTTCGAATTGGTGTGTTTTTGTTATCACTGATTCAATTAGCCTAGGCAGCTGCACTTTGATTTAAATTTAGGAGAGCAAGGGTTACGAAAAGTTGACGGTACTATCTATGACCGATGGTCAAAGAGCAAAATCTTCTTGCTAGGTACTTCTGATGCCACAAAAAAATAATTAGCCAATGAAATGGTTCTTATCCCAATTTTTTTTCTTTTTTTACAAAAACAGGATTATTTTTATTTACAGATCATAGAAAAATACCATCTACAAAAAAAAAAAAAAAAAAAAAAAAAGAGAGATAATTTGAAAGGACTGCACCAAAATCAGCTGAATGCATTTCACGCTATCTACTTGACAACCTCCGATGTATTGTTTGTTCAACTATAAACTAAGAAACATAATTTTCGAGACTTTCTATGAATTTTTTCTAACTTAAAAAGAATTTTATACCGAAAAAGTTTCAGGGGCGAATGTTGCTTCGTTTCCTGTTGAAGGAATAAAATGTGAGAGGACAGAGGAGAAAACGTGAAATGGTTAGTAAAGCTGATTCAGGTTGAAATCGTCCATAATATCTTTGTTAAATAAAACAAATTTGTAATGAAATGAGATATCATTCAGGGAAATAATTGAACACGAGTCCAATACTCCCTCAAAAGAGGGTAATTAAAATTAGAAAAAAAGTGAGTTCAAAAAGAAAGAGAAGAAAGCAAAGCAATCTACGGTAACAGAGGACTACCTCTTCACTCATTTTAAATAAGTGGTTAAATTACAGTATAATTATACTAGCAGCATGATTCAACATAGTTCAAATTCAAAGGAAAATATGCTGCCTTAACAGTGGCTGACAAAAAATACTTAACGAGAAAGAGTGAATTATGCAGAAAACAGGAAAATATTTACAAACGCATCATGGTGAATCCAAAGTTGGATATGACTTGACTGCTCTGCATATTAAATTAAACTATTTTTTTTAAATTTTTATTTTTTTGAGTATTGAAGATGTGACCTTTTCAAAAGGTCCTCTTCTAATAAATTAAAAATTTGCAAGAAAGTACACACCTCACAGAGATTAATCATGTCAAATTTCCTTGACTTTGACATGCATTTACATATTGTATTACTGGCATAGAGTATGTAATAAACTTAACTGACTGATGCTCCACTAATTTGTATTTTTATTTTGTCAAATAACAAATAAATGATTCTATGCGTTTTTTTTCAAGGGGTGAAAGACACACAACACTTTTGTGCTTGAGAGCCAAACAAACCTAATTAACATTTTAGGAAAAAGTGAGTTACTTGCATTCTAGGCATAACCAATAGGGGTTCTATAGGTGGAAACAAATTTAGTGCCCCCCCCCCCCCCCCCCCCCCCCCCCTGACGCCAGCACAGAGATAACAAAGTCTAAAGGAACGTGGCTACAGATGTGCATGCGGAGCACTTAATAGTGGGAGAGATTAGTGACCTCAGATTTGCATTTGAGTGTTACTAATAGCTAAGAGTGTTATCCTGCGGCAATACAAAAAGTTTTTGAAGTGATGATTATTAATTCATCATGCAAAAATCATAGAGGACAGACAAAATAACTTATCCAATACTTGATAAAGTGAGCATTTGCCCCACCTTTATGGAAACTATGGTTCTATTAAGGCTGCTAAGAATGATCAAGACTGTTGTTATTAGGTAACATTTTTTCAAGCTTTAGTATGCCATATTGTGAATAAAATTTAACTAAAAGTTCCTTTGCTATTTTTTCTTTTTTACTGTTTTTCTTCTAGATGGAAAACTGAAATTTTTATTTGATTAGTACCGGAAAATTTTCACTTATTAGTGAAATAACTAGGTTGTTCTAATTTCCATCTGTGGTGAAAGATTTTTCTGTTTACTTGAGAGACAATAGGACTACTTATTTTTTGGGTTTTTTCAATGAATTCTTTCTATATTCAAATGGTTAATCATATCTGATTGATAGAAATTGTGTACATTTTGGGCTCGCCCATTTCTTGTTTATGAGACTCTGCTTCTATTACAGGGAGGAACGCTTTTTCATGATATGCCCATATTTCTGAAAAGTTAGAGAAAACGAAGGAGTTAGTATTGAAAATTGAATAGTATAACCCTGAGTTGAAACAGCTTTCAAGGATAACCTGATAGATTGCACCATGAGATATATTCTAGGAGAAGCATGAATAGAATATGGAGTATTTCGCAATCAGAATTTGCGGCAAAATTTTCCAATTAAATTGAAAATTAGAAAGGAGCACTGATCATGACCTCTTGATTGTAAACATACAAAGAAAAATAACGCAAAATTGGCTACTTTCCATTTAAGCGTAAAATGGGTATGAATCAGCAAAATTTGTCCCAAAATGCATAAATTGTAAATTTCATATGCTGTATACTTGCCAAAAAAGTTTCCATTTTACCCTAAACTCTTCAGATTTATACTTTGTATCAATTCTGCTCAATATATCGATGAAAGAGATATAGGTGGTGAGAACTCCAGGCCTCTCCATTTATACAGCCTCTGGCTTTTAATAATTTCCCTGCCTCCCTTTTAAAAAAACTTTGATTGCCTATTTGATGAGTATCAGGATGAATTGGAGATGGAAAATATCAGCGAAGTACTTACCTGTTTCTTTCATTTTTGTGCAGGTATTGTAATAAGTGCTGTCTACATCTAACTATCGTGGTTCAGGTCTGATAAAGAGATGTCTCTATCTTCATAAAACGATTCTTCAAACCATTCTGCATGGCACTCTAGGAACCTGAAAAGGCAGAAATTAAATATCAAGTCCTCTCAAGAATAATGTACACAAAAGATGTGAGGATTGTATGCAAAAAATGAATCAAGAAAGATTGCCAGGTTAGGCAAAAAATGTGGATACTTTAAATGGGGTCAAAAGGGTAAAGATGCTAATTTTTCAGCACATTCTAGCAGTATAGACGCTATTAGTAATGATGCCATGATAGGGAATCTCCATTATATCAAATTGGATCCAAACAATAGCAATGACAAAACCTTTTTCAATGCTAACAATGAGAATGAATAGATATGTATTGCTTCTCTGTGAAGTGGCACTAATAGCGTCCATCCAGCACTATCTAGGATTCAAAGTACTGAGCCACTGACGGCAGTTTCATGGAAAAAGAAAAAAATGAGAGGGGAAAAGAGCACAAATTAAGAGGGTGAAATGACTAGGTTTGGATTTGAAAGGACAAAAAAGTTCTTCATAATTTAACAAAAGACACTTACTGCAAAAATTTATTGATGTAAATTGTGATGGTAGAGTCAAATTTGTCACACAAAGTAATGGAGGACATTAACAATTCTGGTAGTTTAACTGGAAAAACAAGAACAAAAAATACATCAGAACCAAATTAGTGCTATTCTGAGGCCAATTAAATGCTCAATGAGTGAGTTTGGCTTCATTAATGTACAAAAATATTCACATTCAAACACAAAGAACTCTGCACACCAGCAGAGGCTCATCGGTTCTTGGTACATTTTGATGAGACTTTAATAAACAGGTAATGATTAAGTTCATCACCGGGGCAAAGCCAAAAGTTTAGGTGATTCTGTTGGGTAGGTGCTGAGATATTTGGGATTGGACATGCATATGAAAAAGGTGTCTCTAAATCAAGAAATATGGCAAGGCAAAAGATGATTGAGAATAACTTGCAGTGCTATGCTATTATTCTCAAGAGAAGGAAGCAAATAAACTCCTTGCCACATCCGTCAAATCTAAAATAGCATGGAGATGTTGAAACAGAAGCGAGAGATGCAAGGAAAAGAAAGAGAACGAAGCTAGCACCCAATTGCCCGTAGTGTATGTCTAAGAGCGCAAAAATATGGAGAGGGAAGACTCGTAATTCTTCCACTGTGCATAAGCATGTTAAAGAAGTGATGCGCATGTTCAATTGCATATATATCCACTCCTATCCAACAAAATAACCTAATTTTTTGCTTTGGCCCAATGATAAACTTTATGATAACCTATTGTCAAAATGATTTGACAGCCAGTAAGCCTTCACCGGTATGCAGGGCTTTTTTCTTAACTTAAAAGACATCAAGATACATTAAAATTTCTCTTTCAAGCCATAACAAGGTCTCTAAAAAGTTAGAAGATTTTGAACATTGCATTTATCATTCATAGATAATTGTACTTGATAAATTTGTAAATTAACGAATAATGAAAAAAGAGCGCACCTAATAGCAGGCGCACTCAAAACTTAATTTCTTCGTAACTGTGAAAGAGTCCTTCTTGGGAAAATATATGGTTAATAGAGCATGCCTGACAGGAAGAGATAATACATCTAAAAAGATACAAACCGAACAGCCTTAAAAGGTGAATAGCTCCATAAATTAAGGAGGGCGGAACTGGAATCTGGTTGTACATTTCATCCGGTGTTAAGTGCCAATTCAGTAGATCAGAAAGCACAGCTGCTCTGTTCGGAGATGCCATTAAATTTGTTTTGAAATCTAACGCTGATCCATAGGAGCTAACACTGGTCACACTGATGAAAAAAGAAAAAATGGAAATTTTACATACATTTTTAAAAGAAATAATTTAGAAGATGAGCTCCTTGATAGTCATTTAAAAAACTGACTGATTACTAATGAGCAAATTAGTAATCAAATTAATTAGCAGCGAATTAAATAGAGCAAATTAATATTATGATATAAATTGATGATGATGGTAATTATTCCACCCAATAGTTTGAAAAAACTCTACTTTCACTCTTGCTTCAAAATTCATAATAATTATTGATTTATTTAAATTAGATTATTATTCAATTAATGCAATAATTATATCGGACCGAACATCTTGCAGGCTCTCTCTTACCCATGTAATTTTACAAATTGAGGGGATTAATGTTAAAAGTCTTTGAGTTTTACAAGTTTGGTAAAGTTGAATTCAAATGATAATTTTTGAAGGATCATCAATTGTGAGTAGAAAAAATTCCTCATTTCTCTCAGTCCTGCATTGTTACTACTTTTGTCAATTCTGATATTAATCAGGGTACAGAATATTTTTTTTTTTTTAAATCAACAGTTCATTTCTAATGCATGTGCAATTGTACAATATTAGAGCACCAAGTATACTGAGGTAATCAAAACGTACCTTGAGATAGACTCAAACTTAACAGCAGGTGTTTCAGTAGAGGACAATCTGCTACCAATACTTCTGGATGGTTTGTCAGGCACACCATTTAAAATAGAGGGTTCCAGAGGGCACTTGTGGGATCGAAGAGTCTTCTTCCTTCCAAGGTCTGCCGAAAGGAAACAGAACACACACCATAAATAAAATGTTATTTCAGTTAAGTAGGATAAAATCCTCCACCTACTAACATCCCTTATTTTCACTTGTCTTAGGTCTTCATGATTCTCACAGGAACTTCCAAATTTTTTTTGAAACCATTGGGTTTTCTCAAAAGATTGGTACCGTGTGCTGACTAAAATTTAGTTAACACTTAAAAAAGTTTTTCTCTTTCTTAAAGAATTATTATCTTTATTATTTTTTGGTAAAATATCTGTAAGAGTACTCGCTGCCTGCCAATGTTTGTGGTACTTCTTTGATATAACTTGCTTGTTGGTTTTTTCCCATTTCCTTTGATAATGCTAGATGGTGGTGCGAAATTTTTGAAACACATCCTTCGTTCGAATGATTTATACAAGCTATTAAGTAAACAGCACCAAAATATCCGAAAATTTCTCAAAAACTTAAAGACATTGGATATTTTCTTTTTCAGTGCTTTCAAACATAATAAAGGAATATTTTTTAGCAGGTGTAGCAGTAGCAAAATTACACATTCGAGCATGTCCAATATAATGATGGTATGTTACATTATTGCTAATCCACAGCATTAGCACTCTCCGCGAATTTTTTTCATTACTTTCTCTCCACTGTTTTGTCATAATTGATGTTGTAGCTATCCGATTACTTTTAAAATGCAATACAAAATTCACAAAAAATGACAAAACTAGAGGCCATAGAAGGCTAATGACTTTGCTAATGGACATCAACAGCTGCTTTTCTCACTCTTGTCTATAACGAAAGGAAATTTTCATTGCTAATGCTACAGTGAAAAATTGAAAACGACAACTTACCACTTGCCCCCTCAAATTCTGAATGATATAGATGGCTATCTGGGTCTTCATATTCTTTTTTGACATGAAATTCTTCTTTCATCTGGAATGGTTCGTCAGCTCCAAGAGGACTGTTATTGACAAAATAGGAAAAGAGAAATTAAATAGAAGAAAAGGAGATGAAAATATAATTGAAGGCGCGGTAAAAAATACAGGAGTTTTTCTCTTTGACGATTCGTTAGTCTACTGAGCCAACTGATGCATTTTTTTTATGCTTCAAAGTTTCTGTAGATTTTGAAAGAGAAAAGAACAAAAAAGAACGATTTAATTACCTGGTGCTACACGCTGGCTCATTTCTGTCGGGTGAGACAACTGGTTTATTCCGTAGTTGCTCGTACTGCTCTGTCTCTTCACTGTACAGTAATATATCACCAAGTGTAAAATCTAGAAGTATTCGTAGTCCATCCACGACTTCCTTGCAGATGTTTAACCTGGAATAGAGATAGAAATTAAGTACATATAGTGAAGCAATCGCATCATTTCTACAATTGACAAAAGTTGCGTTTATTATTTGGAAAAATATAACTAAAGGCATGGGTTATTTGAACCAAGTTCAGCAAAAACAAACTAAGCCTCATCTTAGGGCAAAATGAGTTTGGATTAGTTTTGAGTAACATCATACATAAACTACTACCAAAAATTCAAAATAAAAAAAATGTGAAAATTGAGTTACTTTAATCTTAAAAGTTGAGTTTCACGGTGGAGTGAGACTTCTTTTTTTCAATCCTAGTCTCAACATTATGTGGCTTGTCTCTTTTCTCTTAAATTCGATGCAAGTGAGAGGTGGATAATTGACACACTTCAAAATTAAATTTTTTTTTTATTTAATCCTAAGTTGAGAGCCAAAGCTCATCCATCTGGATAGGCTTGACCATTTAGTTACTTAGCTCCTCAATTGAAAAATAACTTAATGAACTTACTCAACGGTGTCAAATTTGTTCACTTTCCGTCTCATTTTGTGACTCGTGTGGTAATGATGTCGAGGCTTATCTTCTCCTGAGTTTGAGGCTGTGAAAGCACAATGTTTCACAAAATTCTCCAAGATCGTGATAATATTTGGTTGAGCGGGAGCTTTCACAAGCTGTGAATTGAACAAAAGTATTATCATGTTAAAAGATGCCCTTTTGATGAGTACTAAATGCTGCTTCAACAGAATGATAACTTCTGGTTGAGAAAACATTTAAAGAAAAAAAAACAGCATTGATGAAAGGAATAATGAAAAAACTAGGAATTTTTTTTGACAAAGGGCTTCATGTAGAAATATAATGAAAATTCCTTGAATTTGTTTTTACACCTCTGCAGTAAATCTCATGACTAGAAAATATTGTCCTAATCAATTTCTTTACGACAAATATTTCAAAAGTTAAGAGAGAGGGAGGTTAAACTTAGCCGATTCAGTTACTCTTTAAAATTTCTAAGCTATCAATTGATAAATATTAACAGTTAACAAATAAACTTATGTTCATTCATCCAGTACATGCAAATACAAATGTTTGAAATGAATTTAATAGACATGCTTGATTATTAGATGTCATTTCACAATTTGGCCACTAAGTTTTCTTAATTCTGCTTCTTAATTGAGAGAGGTAAGAATTGAACAGCCAAATTAAAAGGAGGAGGTAGAGAGTTTTGGAGATTGCACCAAATTAACTCTTTGGATAATAGTCAATTGACCTGTCATTATGTGGTTCATCTTGAAAGAGGTCTTGCTGAAATCAAAATTCCCACCAACGTAGTTGCAAGTAATGCAATTGTACCATTTGTGTGCAATTACTTTCTAACGCAGATTCCTTAAATATCTGACAAGCTACTGAGTACTGATAGAAATTATTAAGATACCTCTGATTGGTTTAATGGTTCCTGAACCAGAATCTGATGGTCATTTTCCCAGTAAATCGAAGATGGATGAACAAATAAAGTTGCATTATTGCTATATCAATAGAGTCTGTTTTAGATTAGTATTTTCTGTTTATAACCTTGATTCTAATGGTAATCTAAAGTTAGAGAAGGGAATTCTTGAGTGAAAGAAGCTACTATCATACGACCATCCCTTTCCTCTCAATGATAATTTGTACCAAGAGACTGCTCAAGAGCTCACCTTATTTTTCCGTTTTATCATTTCATAATCTAGATCCAGATGTTTTTTCAAAAGCGGTGGTAGGTGAAATAGTGGAGAGAGTATAGGTTCCTCGGTGCCTGTTGAGGATTCAGAGGTGGGCCGCTCATCGATGGAATTTCGTCTTTTCCGCGCTCGTTGAACTTCTAGACTTTCGTTTATTTTTTCTGAAAGTCTCCTGGGTTTCTTCTTCCTTTCACGCCGATAAAGGTTCCCACCACTGAAAAAAAGGAGCAAGCACATCACATCTCTCAATCCAATCTGAAGCAACTCTGATTAAGTTATGCGAAAAATCTGGAGCACTGCTAAGTATAAGGAAAAAGCGCACTTTTGCGCCTGATTTTTTTGTGTTGTTATGGATTTCTGTAGTTTATCAATCCATCTCTTAAAATAGAATCTATTATGAGGAATAAGTATACTAGTAACACACGACACAAAAATGATACACTAGAGTTGGACGCCGAACTTTCTTACGTTCTTTTTATTCATTTAATTTTTAAGATTCTTGAATTCTACTTGCATTTTCGCAACAAAATAAGTCTGTCTTGAACTAAGTTAAATTTTTTCTGAGCTAAAAAGTTCCAACATTGAGTTTTTAAGAGGAGGTTTGTAGTTTTTCTCATGTCGTCTGTGCGGTGGAAGATTATTCCTACATGCACTGTGCTTTTCTAACCCCTTCGCTTATTGACGGAGGGAAGGCTCAGAGTTCGCCACTTACAAGGGTAACAATTCACCCCTCTGACAACAAGGGTGCAGAGACTTATCGATTTGCAATTATGATTGTTTGGTAGCTTGCAACAAAAAAAAGGACCAACGCTGTAGACCTAGAAAAAACTAGCTCGCAATTCATTCATTGCGAATGAAATTTGCAATTTTATTTATTTATTTTTTTTTTTGAAAAATCACACAAATCTGTGAATGAGGGAGAAAAGAAAAAAGACATAGTTTTAAAATTGGAGAAAAGAGGAGTTCTTAAAATGGAAAGGCTAACAACATTCTGCACCTCTGTCTGTCGGCTCTGAGAGTAAGATGGAGAAGAGTAATCTTATGGGGTTTTGATAAGTCTCTAATGAAGGGTCCATTCTAAGAAAATGCTTAGTATTAAAATTTGAAGAAAAAAAATTAAAAATAATTACGCCGTAAGTTGAGCTTTTTGTGCAAGTTCTTTCTGAAGTTGTTTATTTTCCTCAGTGTCTTTCAAAATATAGTCTTCGGTAACGTAACGATCCCATGTAGAGTTCCAGCCTTGGAAGTGTATCAAATACTCCACCAGTTTCCTTCCGTTTTCACTCCTGTCTTTTACAATTTTCAAAACCTATCAAGAAAGAGATAAATAATCAATTAGAATGTAAAACTTGATTCATTTGGTTAAAAGTTAATGGTCCATTTGGGGAAATGGTAAACAGTTCACCCTATACAGCATAATACTCTCACCTTTTGATGAATAGTGTTGGTTCAGAGGAGAACTACTCGGTCTGATGATCAGACTACATCGTTTATACCTCTAAATAGTGGACCATAAGACAATGTCCAAATTCAAGCTTGGTACTTACTTACATGTATGTTCATCAAAATTTCTTGCAAAACACGATTTGGGCAAGGAATATCATTAGAAAGAAATCCTACCTAAAAAATCAACAATTTTTCACGCACGGATTTAAGCATCTTGTCCACCACAGTCAACATAGGTTCAACAAGAATTTCTTTTGTTTGATCATTGATTTTAGGATTGGGAATTTTCAAACCCCTTGAGGTGATTCGTCAAGCTCAAGTGAAGTGGTTGAACTGGCATGCGATATATAGCATCGATTAAGTAAAAAATCTCGGCAGATTTTGAATATTTAGCCAACGAAAGGACAATAGCTCCTGCGCATGAGCCTAAAAAATCATTCTTAACCCAAAAATTGGCAAAATTCAGAGAATGAAAGCAGAATAGTGTTTGGAAAAAAAACCTTGAATTCGATACAGAAATCAATAACTAAATCAAATGCGAGGTTTCTTTTCAAATACTATTCTGATATCATTTCTCTTAATTTAGCTGATTTTTGGGTTTAGCATGATTCTTTAGGCTCATGCGCAGGGGCTACCGTCCTTTAGTAGGCTAAAAATGCAAAATCTTCAGAGATTTTTAACTTAATCAATGCGATATGTCGCATGCCAGTTCGACCCTGTCACTTGAGGTTGACGTATCACCTCAAGTGTCAATGAAAGGATATACTTAATGTTGTTGCACAGTCAAAATGAGGTACAACAGATAAGCGTAGAGGCAACTTACCTTAGAGTCGTAGAGTACTTTAGCTTTTGCTGGATCTGGTTCATAACACAGAACACGTTCACCTTCAGAAAACCGGAATTTTATCCCTCTCGTGGAAACCATTGTCTGGAAATGTTCTGGACTGAGATGGATATGAGTTTGGTTCAAAAATCCTTTAACAAGAAATGGAAAAGAGTACTTAACAGTGAATCGTTAGTTGTAGAGGATGGCCATGGACGATGATAACATAATGAAGCAAGTAATTAAGCAGTAAACGTACAAATAAAGAGAGCTGTACTGCTGAAGTTGGATCAATCTATTTTGGGGTAAGTACACTGATTTAAAATGAATAATCACTATTAAATGGACAAATTGGACACTTGTTCATTTCCATTTGACCGATTGTTTGTTTTGATTTTGTTTGTAGGTTATTGCAGGATATTGCTCAACATCTCAACATCCATCCGAAAAATAAACCGAGGGAGTTCTTTGTCAATTTCCCGCGCTTTTATCACTATAAACACAGAAAAGCATGGCAGCGGTAATGGAGTACCTGTTGACTTCATGATAACAACGTCGTCCTTGTTTTGTGGAATCTATGTACTGTTTTTCCTACAAAGGACGAATATTTTGTGTTTAGAAATTCCGGAATTTTACCGTAGTCATGTCTGTAAGTAACATTTCTTGTTCTAATCGAAATCCAACTTATATTCCTGAAACATGTATGCACTGTAAGTGCACTATGCCTAATCATCATTATCCATTTTGATCAGTGCTCTTTGGCACATATGTAATATTTCCTGAAATTGCCACAGTCAAGATATATCCTAGTAAATAAGGAGATAAACTGTTTCTTGTCTTGAGTAATGTTCAAATGCCTACACTGATGCATCACCAAGTTCGATCTCCTATGTCCCGATCACCTTTGTTATCAATCATACCGTACACATTTTCTGAACTCTTATTCAAGACTTTCTAGCTGATTTTATGATCATTTAATCGTTTTTTAATTTATTTTCCTTCTATTCTTCAAACAACAATAGAGCTCACCCAGCCGCTCCACCTCTCCAGAGGGTCCGTTTCAAGACAGGAGTCAAAGTCAGACTATCGGCGATGCTACCTCTCCACCACGTGGAGAAGACTTGGAACCATTTGAAGATGAAGAAGATTTTCTTGGTGAAGGACTCAGTATTGCAGGAGAGGAAGATGATGAAGAAGGAGAAGATTTGATGGGAGATGGAATGGAAAGGTTTGGAAACAAATTCATCTCTTATTTTGTATGATGATTACTTCAATTGAGTCATTGTATTTGTTGTTGCCTGATCACCCATGTGCAGAACTAGGCGATCGTGAGAGCAGGGCATGCCTGCCTCTCCCTCAGAAAAAGAAGGATTTTAGAGTCGTAAACTATTGCAATCTCTTGAATTTTTAAGGAGGGAAAGGACAAGTCAACGGTACTGTTCACACTGCATCCTATTAAAAAATTCCTAGTTCCACTGGTAATTATTGAGTTTCAATCTTAGCTTAGGTTTTTTTTTATATCACTTCAAAAAAATCCATCATAAGACCAAGAATTTTGTACAGTACATAATTGTTTGGAAAATAACAATTAATACAATCCTTCTGAAGATCTGTAACTATCTACAATTCTGATGTGATGCATCTTAGAAAATAAAAGACTTATCACACTGATTTCTCACTCAAATCAGGTAATGTGTTATTTACTATGGTGTACGCTATTTCCACAGTTATGAATATGATGCATTGTCTGCATGCTGTGTCCATTTAGAACATGACTGAGTACACACGTAGTAAAAAGAAAGTATGCTGTTATTAAGTAAAATTTTATGACTGGAAAAGACATGACTGGGATGAAATGGAGTTACTTATGTGATTGGTTAATTCCCTCGACCAAACTCATCAACGGCACTCATGTGTGTTCATGGAGCTGGGCAATCAACACACCATAGTATCTCTTTGGTGACCTACACCACGTCATTTAAATGGCCTGTAAAAGGCATCGAGGAATGCGTTATGCAAGTGTCAATGCGGAAATCAACCAATCATATGATTTCACTCCACCCTTGCCTTGTCTTGTCCAGTCCACAAGCACAAAATTTCAGTAATTGACTTGTAGGGATCCTAATTATAAATAGGACATATGAACAAACAGTCATATGAAGAATCAGTGTTTTGAAGGGCAGTGTTAAGTCAAAGATAAAAAACTGAACTGTATGATGTTAAAACCCCTTTTATTTTAACCTCTCATTTACATTGAATCTAGCATGAAGAATGTCCAACTCAACTTAATTTATTTGTTTCTAAAATCATACTCTCTGATGTTTTATCATGATCAGAGATTACCGTCCTATGCCAGAGTTGGATCGATATGATGCTGATGCTCTGGATGATGATGAGTACAGTGAATTGTCAGTCGGTGATAGGCTGGCTGCTGAGCGAGATATGCGAAGACGCGACCGTGAAGCAGGTCTCGGGCGCAGAGGTGACGATGATCTGATTTACGGTAAGCAAAATTTTTTATTTTCATTACAGAAAATTACTCTTTTGTCTTCTACATTTAACGCAAGCTCAAAATTTCATTCAATCCAAGGTTCCAAAAAAATGGTGTCTGAAACCTAGAAAAGAAGACCATCAGCTGAAATAAAAAATCTTTAGGAACATTAGGGAATCTATAGATATCAATTGATGAGGATTTTTTCTCACTCCACCTCAAAGGCCATTTTACTTACTGATCAGCCTGAGAGTTCATGATGATTTGGCGCTGCAAAAGTACCTAAAGAATGAGAAAAATCTGTAAACTTGCTTTAAATGCCAGTTATAAATCTTGTTTTTCCTCTCTTTTTTTTTCTTTTCCAAAAATTCAAGAGAAATGAAAGAATCTTTTGCATTATTACTGTAAGCTATTTTTAAAATATAAAACATTCTCTGAGCTTCTTTCACATCTGTAAGCAGAAATTTTGTGTACATCTGTTGGTCTCTTAATCAGCCTGAATCCCTGATGATTCTGATCCTCAACCGCCGACTACAACTGCATTGGGAAGCATGTTATCATTTGTGCAGTTTGTTTATTTATTTATTTATATACAAAATACATGGGCAAAGTCAATTAACAAAACTACAACACTAAAAACAAAACAAGAATCTAGATGATCTTGTTGATTAGATGTTGGTGTCAGTGGTTCAAAAAGACTCAGTACATTGGATTACCGGACTTAAACATGATATATACTTGTGATAGGACACTTCTGCGAACTTTTTGAATTGATCCTACCAGAGGAATTATCCAACGTCTTTTAGGATTTAGGGAAAGAGCTATGCCATGGGTTGGATGTATTAAAATAGCCCTAGTATGACAATAGCACAGTATCCTTTTATCATACGGCAACATATCAAACGAATGTAACTTTTTCCTATTTTCTTCTTTACAGATGAAAGTGATGAAGATGAGGCACCAGCACGTAAAAGAAGAATGGCTGAAAAGGCAGCCACTGGCATTCTTGAGGATGAAGAGGTACTAATACTATTTTTCAATTTTCTCCTCTTGCTAAATTATTACAAGGCTAGTCAGAATTTTGTTGCCTTTTGTACTTCTAGACTAATCTATAAGTAGCAGTAGTGCTACGGTAAGAGAGTGACCTGCTGCATTAATGACTCGTGAAGAGCAAGAGACATTGATTTTCATTTGATGCATTCCTGGCCCTCTACCCCCCCCCCCCCCCAAAAAAAAAAAAGGTGAGACAAATTTTTTTTTCCTGTTGCTGGAACTGGAGACTATCTACCTGAAATAATTTTTAAAATGTTTCCGCGAATCTAGTGCCTTTGAGAATTGCTGTAGTCTTTAAAATCAGATTAACAATAATGTTTGTTCAACAGAATTATCTAACAGAATTACTCTATTTTTCAAGTGAGGAGTATAGCTTATTATTTTTTAAGTACATTTCCACAACTTTCTTCTTAAAATTTTTGAAATTTTCGTCTCAGTCTTTGTAAACACAGTATTTTAGTTCAATGAGGAACCTGCAAAGAGTTATTTTTTCGCCCACCCCTCTCTATTTGCGGCTTCCTCTTCACACTCAGTTTTCAAAAGCTTACATTTGAGCATTTTATGGCACTATCAGGCTGTTTATAAAAGTATTCAAATTGCAACATTGCAGAGAAGGGATAACATTTAATGTTATTGCTCTACATGTATTAACTATGTTCCAAACTTTTCTTATATTTGTCCTCACAGATGATTGAAGCCATTGATAATCTTGAAGATACCAAAGGACACTCAATCAAAGAATGGGTCTCACTCATTGGTCCAAGGAAAGAAATAGAAAATCGTTTCCGCAATTTCTTGAGGAATGAAGTCAATGTAAAAGGACAGTACATTTACAAGGACAAAATTCGTCGAATGTGTGAAGAAAATCACTCAAGTTTTGAGGTGGAATATCGGCATTTGGCAGCGAAGGAGCATGCGCTGGCTTTTTTCCTACCCGAGGCTCCCCTTGAAATGCTTCAAATTTTTGATGAAGTGGCTAAAGAACTTGTGTTATCAATCTACCCCACCTATGAAAGAGTAACAAATGAGATTCATATCAGGATTTCTGAGTTGCCTCTTATTGAAGAATTAAGAACGTTCAGGTGAGAAATATTGCTCTGACTTTTTAATAAATTAACACTCAAGGTAAAAGATGGGGCTGCTAACATATTCATTGCCATGCTCATTGATTCAACCATGGTTGATATGTCCCACAGAAGCCAAACTGTCATTGAAATATTAGGTGCTCTAACTAAATTCTTTTTTGACAATGCCTCTCCATTGGCTGAGCTCAGTGTTTGACACTCTTTTGAGTTTAAGGAGCTAACATGTTCAATTCTCATGGGCCCTTGAAGGTTTTTTTGTAGCCAAATTGAGTTTTTGCCTGCATACCAATGCTCACAATCTCCCCCTTTACAAGCATGAAATTAAAATAACACTCATTTACAATTTCTAATTTTAAACTTTGATACGATGATTTTAACAAACGATTTCTAAATTTCTAATTTTTTATTATCATGCCTACTTGGCACGTCTTTATAAGTTGCAGGTATGATGAAATGCAGTTTTATTCTGAAGTAAAATCCAAATTCATGCAGTCATCCTCATTTGAAAGTGTTAATTGATGATTTGACTAATATAGCAACTCAATGGTGAAACTTCAGGAATGCGTATCTTGATTTGCGGCATTGCTAACTTCCTGGCTTACTTTATTGTCTACACAGAAAACTACCAAACGTCATTTTTTGAAAATTTCTGTGATTTTTCTCTTCTCTATAAAAAATATTTTAAGGAAATTTCAAGCCAGGATTTTGGTTTGGTTTCCTTTTCAAAAATAAACTAATGGCGGGGATCCGGGAACACTGCAACCAAGATACGCATTTTTGCAGTTTCACTGTTGAACTGCTCATTGAAAGGAATTTTTCTTACATACACCCCAAAAAAATAAAGTAAAAGAAAAATAAATATCAGCATATTAATTACTCACTTTCTTCATCCCATTCCTTTCCCTCAGAGTTTTTTCTTACATTTGGTCATGTAAATTTCAGAAAAATTCACTTGAACCAGCTGGTCCGAACAACAGGTGTGGTCACTGCAACGTCCGGCGTTTTGCCGCAGTTATCAATAATCAAATATGACTGTAACAAGTGTGGTTACATTCTTGGACCTTTCACTCAGTCGCAAGACTCTGAGGTCAAGCCTGGTTCCTGTCCAGAATGTCAGAGTGCTGGTCCTTTCATGGTTAGTTGAGTTCATTATGCAAAATTTTATTATGACTCATAGAATTAGATCAATCCACACTACACTAAGGTTGCATCAAGTTTTCAATCCCTTAACTCAGTAAAATTATTAGATTTTTTTTTTTATAAATGGTCCACCCTTTTTCCTTGGCTCCGTGGAAGCTTGCCTCTAGTATCTTAATATTCTAACTAATTTAATGTTTTAATTTTGCATTTTTTGCAATCGGAGGAGGCATAGGTGAGTGCCAAAATATCTTGTATCATATTTTATCATACTTTCAGCCTTTTTCCAGCTTACTATCTCTTGATTTTACAAGTTTGTAGGCTGCCCCAAATTTGTATTTCTATATTTATAGATTTTCTTGATATTGGAATATATTAATGTTGACTGACATTCATTCATTTATTTTATAAGTCATAAAAGGTGTGATGAATTTTCAGTTGTTATATTATTTTTCAGTCTCAATGGTAGAATAATATAAGTAAAAGATATGGCGCTATTTGGATCAGAACTAGTAGAAAGGAATTTACAGGCTAGTAGAGCTCGTTTCAGATTACTTTCTTCTTTTTCTGTATGTGGAGGATAGGGAATTCCCTATCTTCCGCAGCAAAAGAGAAAAGTTATCTGTAACGGGCTCTAGGTAAATGAGAAATGAGAAATCATTTTCTTCTGTCCGTCAGGTTTTTAAATTTCTGCCTGTATTTAATTTTTACAAGTTTTGAAAAGTCAAGAGTGAAGTTCTTTCATTGTGCAAATGGTCAGGTATATCAAAGAGGAGAAGTTAAAAAAAACCGTTCATTTTTCCATTTTTTACTGTTCGATTTTCGACAACAAATCTATTATCAGCAAAAAAAATCGGTCGAGATAAATACGAGCCTCACTAATCACCCTATCAAAAGGTCAGTTAGAGGTAAGAGGTCATTTTACACTTTTAAGAGATAGTGTGACAATTTTGTAACTTGTCAGAAATAATTAAAATTTGAAATTAATTATGCGTTGGCAATGAGGCTGCATCTCTCTCCCTCCAAGTTATTTAGCCACAGAGACTGCATTTGAAGTATTCACGTATTCACTGTAATTTAATCTTGATTTCAGGTAAACATGGAGCAAACAGTCTATCGCAATTATCAAAAAATCACACTGCAAGAATCACCTGGACGGGTGCCAGCAGGAAGAATTCCCCGTTCGAAAGACTGCATTCTTTTGGCTGATTTGTGCGACCGCTGCAAACCAGGAGATGAAGTCGATATCACTGGAATATACACTGACAACTATGATGGAGCCTTAAACACTGATAATGGTAGGCATTTAATTTTTTAAAGCTCTGTGATTTTTTCTTGGAATATTAAAATAAAAAATGTGGAGTGTCTAGTGCAGCTCCCATGGAAAAAAAATGAGGATATCAAGAGAAAGAATAAATATGAAGTGTAATATTTTTCTTACAGTTCTGCATGAAAAACAATGTTCTTTTTTTGAAGCATGTCCTCTGTTTTTTTAATTTGTCAAAAATTTGGTTAAATGAATCTGACAGAAAATAAAATCAATTTTCAATTTGTCGGATTTTTTCTCCGGTCCAATTTCCTTCTACAATCAGCCTGTCTGATATTCATCGTAGCGAATGAAAAATTGATGTGTGTTTCTTTGATTTATACAGGATTTCCCGTCTTTGCAACTGTTATTCTTGTCAATCATTTGATAGTCAAAGACAACCAACACATCGTGCAGTCCTTAACAGACGAAGATATCAAAATCATTCAAAAATTGGCACAAGATCACAACATAGGCGAGAGAATAATCAAAAGTATTGGACCATCTATTTATGGCCACAAATACATCAAAACTGGACTTGCACTGGCCCTTTTCGGTGGAGAATCGAAGAATCCAGGTGAGTTTCATGCCTTAATTTTACCACTGATTTGTCAATTATAGAGCCTCAAAATATTCTATCAATTTGCACTATTCTTTTCTCTGCATATTTTGATGCTGTTTGAAATGATTGACTCTCAATATTCGAACTATTGAGGTTTTGAATATTAATTTTTCAATTTATCTTAAATTTATGTATCTCGAAATAATCCATTCTTTTGACTTTTTCTGTCGACACAATTTATCGTAAGTCTTTGTCAAGAGTAAATATCATGAAGAATCTACGTATCTCTGCACCGAGTCAAGTGTATTTTGATTAAAGTTTTTTAATTTTTTCTGCTTTTGTCAGGTGAGAAGCACAAAGTCCGTGGTGACATCAATGTCCTCCTGTGTGGAGATCCTGGAACAGCCAAATCTCAGTTCTTGAAGTTCGTCGAGAAAGTTGCTCCCCGTGCCATATTCACGACAGGGCAGGGTGCGTCAGCTGTCGGTTTGACAGCATATGTGAAACGAAATCCTGTTAATCGTGAATGGACTTTGGAAGCCGGTGCACTCGTTTTAGCAGATCGAGGTGTCTGTCTCATTGATGAGTTCGACAAGGTAAGATTTCGTTTCTTATCAATTACAGTATTTGTGTAGCCTTTCTGTAAACTTTAATCGGAAAATTCCTTCACCACAAAAAGTGCCTACTGTCCTGGATACTACTAATGCCCTGAGCTTAAGTACCTTAGAGCGGATGCATCGTATGTTGAGAAAAAAGTCAAGTATTGTTTAGGTCACCACTCATCAGTAATACCATCTGACTGCATGTATTAACCTGTTGAGTGATGATTCGGAGGTAATCACAGATTGACATCTGTTTCAACCTACGATGCGTCCGCTCTAAGCTGTGAGTGCTGACTACTGCCTCTCAGGCTCGCCAAACTGACCCCCATGGGTGCAGTCCTGATACTTTAAACAATTGATATTCAGCTAGTTATGCCAATATCTTTTCTTTGCTCTCTCTCGCTTCTCATTTTATGAAAAATTATATTGAACATTTTGGCCAAGGGGATAAAGTTTTCCTTTTCTCACGTGTGTATCGTTACCGAAACGATTTAAGTATCCAGGTTTTCAGTCATCTGTATCTTTTATAAATTCAATTTTTTGTATGTTTTTAGATGAATGATCAAGATCGGACATCAATTCACGAAGCAATGGAGCAGCAGTCCATTTCGATATCAAAAGCTGGGATTGTCACATCACTCCAAGCAAGATGCTCCGTTATAGCAGCTGCCAATCCTATCGGGGGAAGATATGACCCATCCATGACTTTCTCTGAAAACGTAAGAGTATTTTTTCATTCTTTCGGTAAAATGTGACCAGAATCCATATTTAGAGGATTAAATTTTAGGATTTTAAATGCTACCCAAGTCCGGACAGTTAGACAATTAAAATGTTATGTCCTCTTAATAATAAATTTAAATAACCGTCGTGAAAGCGGGAGACTGTGTATCATGGTATGCAAGTCGCAGATTTTGTGTCAAAACCCTTTTTGCTTTCTTTTCTCTTATTTCTGTTTCTAGAAGTGGACACTGATAATTATATCCAAGATCCTGCCTTTCTGTCGCCAATCATCAAATTTCTATCCTATTTCTGTTTTGCTCAGGTTAACCTTTCAGAGCCTATTATGTCTCGTTTCGACATTCTTTGTGTTGTTCGAGACGAAGTCGATCCCGTGAAAGATAATCAACTAGCTCAGTTTGTGATCGACTCTCACATTCGCCATCATCCTAATAGTGACATCAGAGAATCAGAGCAAGAAACTCCAAATGACATCGAAATTATACCACAAGAAACACTGAAAAAATACATCGTCTATGCAAAGCAAAATATTCACCCAAAGCTTCACAATATGGACCAAGATAAGATTTCCAAAATGTACAGTCAGCTTCGTCAAGAATCTATGGTAAGTTCTTTCCAAAGTCAGTGTTTTGATAATTACAAACACATATTTGTGCTCGAGAGCTAACAGACAGTAACTAATATTTTTAAAGAAAATGAGGTTTCTCAATACATCACATCCTCTGTTCGTGATGTGCTGTAAAGAGGTTGGTGGATACAATGCTGAGTTTTTGTTTTAGAAGCTTACATAACTGTCTGTGGTAAGCAGTAATATTTTCCTGTGATGAAATAGACTTCATTGCATTTGAATGTTGCTATCCTATATTCTTCATCTAAACAAAACAGGATGGGAAGAACAAGCAATGTTCAGATCGCCCAACTGGTACATTTTCAGTATCACTTCACTAATCTTTGTGTTTTTTCCTAGTATTATGTCAATATTCGACTAACTTCTAAGAGTTTCTAGTTGATGCCTAACAGTCTCTGGTTCTACCAAACCGTGGATAAACTGGTGCAGTTTTTGCAGTTGGACAGATGCAAATCAAATCAATATTTTTAACCTGTGGCTTGATTTTATTTTTTATTTTATTACATTTCAGACAACTGGAAGTTTGCCAATTACTGTTAGACACATAGAAAGTATTATCAGGATGTCAGAAGCACATGCAAAAATGCACCTTCGAGAGTATGTCAATGAAGATGATGTTAACATGGCCATTCGAATGATGCTTGAATCCTTCATTGAGACACAGAAATATAGTGTCATGCAATCTATGAAGCGAGTAAGTTTATCAATTCACATATTCATTTATTTGTTGACTCACAAAATTGCATGGGCTAAAGCTCTAAATAGATACAAGTATGCAAAGTATGCATAATCATGAAGAGAGAGAGATAAAAAAGCGTTTATGCAGCTCAGGTCTCTTTTAACCTCTTGCCAGATGATTTCTTGGAAGGAGACCTAGCTTCTTAAATGATTGTTTTAGCAGAGCCAGTTCCTATTAGGGTTTGATGATCAGTAATATTTCTGAGACCTAAAGGAATATGCTTTTGGAGTTCAAAAATCAAAACAGGTTTTTTCAAATGAATGAAGAAGGAGGTTTAATTAAAATATGGGTAAACAAGGCTAAAAATTATTGAAGCACTAAAAGGCAGGACGTTTTGAGCTGCTATCAGCTCATTTTCAGCTGCAAAAACACATAAAAACAAGTAAAAAATTGAGTTGCGACCTGACCCCAGCCGTTATCACGTAACCACTTGTACCAGCTCGAAACGTCCTGCCTTTTAGTGTTTCAATAATTTTTAGCCTTGTTTACCCATATTTTAATTAAATTTCCTTCTTTATTCGGATATTCGGGCTATATTTTTGTGCTTTATCGTTTTTTCAAATGTAAATGGTAAACAACATAGTAATATAATAAACCGAAAGTAACGAAAACCAAACGAAACGGAACAAATGGGAAAACGAGGTAAAAAACTGTGAGCTAAATAATAAAGTAAAGAAAACCGAAACTAAAACTAAAAAACTCAAACTCACAAAAAATAATGTTGGAATTCAGACGTGAAGAAGGGGCCAAGGAGCCCCGAAACGCATCGGTGTTTTTAATTATTTTTGGTGAGTTTGAGTTTTTTAGTTTTAGTTTCAGCTTTCTTTACTTTAACATAGTAATACTTCAAGAACATTGCATTTTTACTCAAGGATTGAATTAAATAAAAGAATTAAGCACTAAAATATTTCAGTGTATCTTTTTGAGGTTCATGAATTTGAATACTAAGCTGTTACTGATTTCTGGATGAGGATTTTTTTCCATATTTAATTATTTGTAAAATCCATAATACTATCTTTGATTAAATAAGTGTTATTGCTCTACTATAAATTTTTTTTCTTTAGACTTTCAGCAAATACCTGTCATTCAAAAAGGACACTACGGAGTTGCTTTACTATATTCTAGAAGAAATGTTAAAAGATCAGTACTTCTATCAGCGGCATGTTAAAGGACCCAATGTCACTACCATCGAAATACACGAAAAAGATTTCTTGGACAAGGTGATCATTTTATTTGTTTAATATTTTTCATTTTCTTTTTTCCTCCTACCTCCAACTGTCAAAAGATATAAAGAAAATTCTCTGTTGTGTACAATTATATTCTACTTTCCGCAATCCGTGATCCAAGTACCCAGACAGTTCATATTTGCATCACGAGAACCTCAAAGGAATTGTCAGTTTTTGATCATCTTTTCTTTTGCTGTTCTCTTCTTGTGTCTCTGAAACAGAATTTCAAATTCAAAATGCGGTGGAAAATTTAAAATTTCATGATAATCCTAATTAAATGTGATTGTTTTTTTCATTGCATTGGAGTTACGATTAAAGCACTAGATTGAAATTAAAATCTGCATTTGATTATTGGCAATCACCATTAACAAGGACCAATTAATCAGGATTATGATTAAGATTTGATCAGTTGCATCCACAGTTAATTTTCGATTAATCGTGATTACAATTAATATTTGATTAATCGTGCAGCTCTTAGCATGGGTGCTAATTTTATGATTGTTGTATTTTCAGGCCAAACAAGTCAACGTTTTCGACCTACGCTCATTCTATGAAAGCGATATGTTCAAGCAGAAGCATTTCACATATGATTCAAAGAACCGCCTAATTATTCAGACATTGTCCACCGCTGTCTCCGGTTGACCTGCACCTGTTCCTTCAATGTCTCAATACCGAATTTTATTCCTATCATCTTTCACTGTACAGTTTTTTAAGCTTTTTTAAAGTAATTTTATCTGATCCTGATTTGAAAGTATCTAGTTTTTTAAAAATGTATCAGCACTTTTTTGTGTGCCTTTGGAAATTAGATTTTCAGTCTAGTGTATCAAAGTCAAGCAATGTTTCATTTATGCATTTTTTACACAAATTGCCCATAGTGAGTACCTATTGCAAAGCATGTAAGTTAAATAAAAAACGTACTAGATAATGAAACGAACTATTCAAAAGTTTCAATTTCATTACCTTTTCATCACTGCATGCAATTTTAATTCCTTCGATGAAGTTAATGAAGAATTGGAGATCTTTTCAGGCATGTAAAGAAACATATCAAAAGTGAAACTACCAGACCATATATCTTGGTTTGCGATGTTGTAAACTTCCTGCCATACTTTATTTCTTAAACGGGAAACTACTCAATGTAAATTCTTGAAAACTCCTGGTTTTTCTTCTCTGTGCAAAAGAAACCTATTGAAACCTTCAAGGAATAATATTGATTTGTTCTCCTCAGTAGCGTAAATATTACCTTGCGGTGAGCTAACCATCACCTTGCGGCAAAATATCGGCCTTGCCATCCTCTCCGAGCCCTCGCCGAGCCAGTCCAAGGAACTCGACGACCGGGAATAAAACCGTATGACAACACTGTAGACCCAAATCCAGACGCAGGGCGCGAAAAAGGCGACACAGCATCAGGAAGTACCCCGTGTTGGGTTTGATTTTTGTCTCCAACGTTGCCATGCATAATTATTCCCAGTCGTTAAGTTCCACGAACTGACCCGGCGAGGGCTCGGATAGGGCTCGAAGAGGGTGGCAAGGCCGATACCTTGCTGCAAGGTGATGGCTAGCTCACCGCAAGGTAATATTTTCCCTAGGGCTTCAAGAAAATAAATTGAGAGCGGAGAATTTTAAACACCGCAAGCAAGGTACAAGGTCTGGTAGTCTCACTGTCAATATGATGATAATCAGAGTGTAAATTTTTAAACAGCACAGTATTAACCACCTGTGTTCCCCCTCTGTCTTTACCAGGTCTTTCCAAAATTCAGCTTTTACACCCAAAGCAAACCATGTAATAAAAGCAGGTTTTATGTAACCTGTACTTAAAGCTGCTGTTGTATCACTCTTTTGCCATAGACTTTAGGGGTGAAATATTTAATCATAAAGCTTTTGTTCTGAAATAAGTCACACTAATTTCATTGAAAATAGCTGAGAATCATATTTTATGCTAACCACACCCTTTAGTAGGGTCTTTGCAGTTCCGGTGAGACTTCTAGTTTTAAATTTTAAATTTTTAAATTTTAGATTCAGTTTCTGCTTCCCACCGGCCTCCACCAAAAATTTCTTTTAATTTGGTCAAATTTTTGTCTTAATTTCCTATCCCTCTTTATAGCCAGAAAGAAATATTTTGGATGGATGGCTGTTAACTTTCAGTAGTAGTTATCAAAGCCGCACACTTTGTGAGTGTTAAAACAGTACCTGGGTAGGTTTTTAGTCGCTCCATTTCTCCTGTCCACCTGTCCGTAAAGAAAGTAATGGCAAGATGCCACTTTCCCTGTTACAATGACCATCAAAGCTTATATTTTGATGCTTTTGTAGTAGTTTCTTCAAACTATTTTTAATCCTCTTAGGCTGTAATTTTAATGTATTCGTTTTGTCCCAGCCTGTTATCAGTTTAATTTTTAATACAGTTGTCTCATTTATCCATTCAGAGTTATTATGAAACTCAAGTAAGTTGTAAAATGATAGTTTCTGTTTTAAAGGTTGTTTTAAAGATTGTTTGAAGAGACTAATGCTGAATAAATGTCTTAAAAAGTATACTTTCGTTTCTTTTCATTTTATTACAAAACAACCCTAGTAGCCTAAAAAGCTGTATGTAATCACTAATTATTGGAGTGGTTTCATACCCTTCTTCCCCCTTTGAATTAACAGCCTTAGCATCATTTTTTCACCTCAGGTATAGAAGAATTCTAAAGCCATGGGAAATAGAAAACATTGTAAATTTTTATGCCTCTAAAGTATCATATCACTGTAGATGATTTATTATGAGACTTCTGCCTCTTAAAATCACTTTCATAACACCGAAAGTGCGGTCATTTTTACAAAATTTAGTGTAATCTTCAAGTAATTTTTCTACAGCAGGTTGACTCGCCTAATAAAATCAGGAACAAAAATACTTTGATAGTTTTAATACATCATAGCTCTGTTAATGACAAATTAAATAAAAATCTCTCAATACGAAGGCATCAATCCTCAAACGAATCTCTCAATTCCTAAAATTTGAAGTATTATTAGTCAAAATGTTTGATTAATTAATCCATCATGAACTTCCTCCGCTGAAGGTGGGCAAACCTGCATAAAACTGCCCTTTTTATTTCTAAAACCTCTCTTAGTGATGGATCCTAAGTTTCTCAGGAACCTGTCAAACTACCTGGTTGTTTGCCTTTCTTTGTTAATTATGTTAGAAACAATGTATATAATTCCATATCGATAAGTCCGCAACCACGTATCTTGGTTTGCGACATGGCAGACCTCCTGTCATACTTCATTTTTTAAATAGAAAACTACTCAATGGCAATTCCTAGAAACTGCCCTGATTTTTCTCTTCCCTGAACAAAGAAAATTCTGTGAAAACGTCAAGGAATGATGTCGCTTTGTTTTCTTTTAAAGAAGTAAAATAAGAGCTATTAAGACTTTTAAACACCGCAAACGAGTTACGTAGTTCCGGACTGAGGTACATCATCGGCATTTTGGAAAATTAAAAAAAGAAAAAATAAATTTATCCCAAAAAATTTGCCACTACAAAGGCGACTCCTCCCAACTAGAGGAGTCATCGTAATATGAATCCCCGTGCCACCCATGAAAAGATTTTCTGCTGAATGTGTGCAAACATAATAAGCCGCAAAAAACATAATTTGTATGTTATTAAAACGTTGTGTCTCTCTTGGTAATCAATTCAAAAACGCCCACCACCAAAGAGGCACTTTCCTAAATCATAGGGAATCACCACAACGAATTTCAGCTTGAGCTTGTGCGTAGTTTTTCTGCCAAAGGTGGACGGATATTAATGTCATAAAAACAGCAAAATTGATTTATTGTTATGATCTTAAAGGGTCATATCTCATTTAATAACTAGGTATGAACAGCAGTCACCTTAAAGGCACTTATCTGAATCTTGAGGAATTATGATGCCTAATTTCAGCTTGATATGAGTAGTTTTTTTTTTTTTTTTTTTTTTTTTTTTTTTTTTCTTTTCTATTTCATGTCGCCGATTCGTACAAAAAAGCAAGAATTGACAAATCCTAATATTTTTTGTAAAGATACAGGGTCGAAGAATTCAAGATCGGCTATCGTTCATGTACAATGGTCGCTGGGACCTCGAGAGAACTCGTGAAATATTTAATGAAATTCGAATACTTCCCGCCTTTCGGTCAACGAGAGTGCCACCAATCGCATACTTTCCCGCGCTCAACGCTCATTGGCCATTGCACTTAACGAGCGGCGCTTGGCGGGAAAGCTGTGCTCGTAGTGAAAATTGATGCAGGATTTTTCCGTACTCATGGACGCGAGTTGTGTTACCGCTTCTGAAATGAATTGTTCATAGTTTTCATCAACGTAGCTCCGTATCTCATAAACCTAGCGAGATATTTCATAAAATTCGAATATTTCCCGCCTTCCAGTCAACGAGAGGCCATCAATCGCGTACTTTCCCGCGCCCAACGCTGATTGGCCGTTGCACTTACGAGCGGCGCAGCGGGAAATCGGCGCGGGCAGTAGGAAAAGACGGAGACTATTGTATATCAACAGGAATCATTAGAATAGCGCTTTCTCCGCTCGTCAAAATGGAAGATCAAAGTGGCTCAAAGTAGGGACTTGATTGGTCATTAGATTCAACGGGCCGATCAAATCCCGACTTTGAGCCATTTTGATCTTCCATTTCGACAAGTGGAGAAAGGGCTACGTAACTTCATCAGTGGCATCTTACGACAAGTGCATACTTACAGATAGGACTTCTCTGTGTGTGCTCCTTTCATATTCAAAGGATAATCAGTCGTCCTTGCTTTTTATTTTTTTTTTTTTTTGTATAGCAACTGGGTGGTTTTTATAGGATGATTATAATTAAATAAGTGGTTAGAAATGGAAACAAAATAATATGAACTATGCAAAACGATTTTTAAGATAAGGGAACTTGGCTGTTTTGAAAACGCCTTCAATTGCGGCGTGATACCTCACGCATTCCGGAGAGTTCAAATAGTTGTATCATTGCGCCGTAAGAATGTGACGGAAGATTTAAATGGAAATAGCCTCCATGCACGCTAGGCGTGTCGATTTCCTTTGACATTTTTGCAGTGGTGAATGCATAGCTGAAGTGCGCTTCAGCTAGAATTGTACGAGGGGCGTTCGTAAAGTAAGTATATATCTTTATTTTCTCCGGAACTAATGAAGATAAATTAAAACGGTAAAATGTGTTTTAACCGTCATACTCTCAGCTTTTCAAAAAGCTTTCGTTTTTTAAATTTGGTCCACCCGTTCGCGAGTGACGTCATTTTTCCCGCGCCCATTTCTCGTCACCGCGTGTCCAAAATATTCGAACGCGGCGGAGTTCCTCAGACGAGTGAGTAGGTACGCATGTTTTCACCGTAAAAGAGGTTGCAACACAATTAATTGGATAAATATGTGAAACTTTCATGCTTTAAATTGTCTTACCTTGCTTTTCGACATGATCTCCACCCAGTTGAACACATTTCTGATTATGTGTTAGCAGTTTGTGGATTCCATCTTCAAAAAATTGCGCATATCCTGTCCTTGGAACCATTTTTATACAGCTTCTTGCAACTCTGCGTCGGTGGAGAACTTTCGGCCACCCAAGCTCTTCTTTAACGCAGGAAAAAGATGAAAATCGCATGGAGTAAGGTCCGGTGACTACGATGGATGAGGAAAAAGGTCCCATTTGAATGAGGCGAACAAGTCTCTTGTCACATGAGCCACATGAGGCCTTGCGTTGTCTTGAAGGAACAAAACTTGACGAGACAAAAGATCGGGCCGTTTTCGCTTGATCGCTGAATTAAGATTTTTCAAAACTTCACAATATCTTGCGGCATCGATCGTTTTTCCTCTTCCTAAGAAATCGATCAGCAATATTCCTTGAGCAACCCAAAATCCCGGAGCCAAAACATGTACTCGTCTGAGGAGCTCCGCTGCGCTCGAATATTTTGGACACGCGGTGACGAGAGATGGGCGCGGGAAAAATGTCGTCACTCGCAAACGGGTGGACAAAATTTAAAAAACGAAGGCTTTTTGAAAAGCTGAGAGTATGACGGTTAAAACACTTTTTACCGTTTTAATTTATCTTCATTAGTTCCGGAGAAAATAAAGATATATACTTACTTTACGAACGCCCCTCGTATTTACAAATGGGTGGTTTTTCAAATAGTGGTTCAAATAGTTATATCATTGCTCCGTATGAATGTGGCGGAAGATTTAAATGGAAATAGCCTTCATGCAGGCTTGGTACATCCCATCTCGGGCCCTGGTACCAGTTTTAAGGTCCGGGCCCCAAGCACGGAGGGGGGGGGTCCGAGGGGCATCCCCCAAGAAATTTTAGAATTTTTACGACTAATCGGACGCATTTTGAAGCTTCCATAATGAATTTTTCCATCAATTTCTGCGGAATAATTATGTTTTTTTTTTCTACTTTCAGCACAAAATACTTGCGAATTGTTGCATTCAAAACATCTGGATTTTTTTTTTTTTTTTTTGGGGCTTATATGATACTATTTTCAGTTCTATGAGGGCCAGGCCCCCCTGGACTCCCTCTTCGTTTGTCTATGGCAAGGGAGTTGAGCCATGAGCCATTGAAGTCGAGGATGCCCAGACTGGAGACTCCGACGACGGAAGAAAATGAAACGTAGTTACTAAAAATATCCCTCTGTGCTGAAAATCTTGAAAATAGATAGAAATTTTCCCAAGAGTATACTTCTTTGAAATATTAAGGAGAATTCTACAGTGTCCCAGCGTGTTTCTGAAATTCTATTCACCTTTTGCGAAATTTTTAGGGTAAATTTTTCACTTTTTCTTACGAAACTAGGGTTGCATGTGAATTCGTAGTGGTTTTTCACGGGTAACACGGGCCCCCTCCGGGGCCGGGGCCCTGGTACCAGGGACCCAGTATCCCCCCCCCCCTTGTGGCTGGCCTGGATGGAGATCCTTGCCCAATATCCATCAAAGTCTGTACAGAATGTATTGCAAAAGTTGGAAGGAATAATTCTTACTCTTCAACTCGATTTTTTTCCTGAGTTTACTGCCAGCACAAGCATCCATTTAAACTTGGGTTTGATGGCATAATCGACTGCCTAAAATAAGTCTAATTTTTGAGGGGTTCATTTGACTTCATCGTTAGTACCTATCTTGAAAGTGCATGTAGCGTATTCAAAAATTGAAGACGCTCCCGCTTCACAAGTTTACATTGAGTTGGTTGCGGCGCCTTGAACGTTGATACAACTATTCGTGTTTCGCGGATATGCGTGCTGCATATTCAAAAATTGAAGGCACTCTCGCTGTTTTCAGCAATGCTCGAAGTTGTCAGTCGCAGAACCCGAATGACAAAGTATCGAGGTATGTAGGGAAAGTATTGTCGTCTGAATGCTTATAATACAAAAAAAAGTTCTGCTTTCTGATTGGTCAACACATCTCAGGCTTTCATGATAGCCCCTTCGCTCTCAGTTTTGGATCATGGTAAACGAAAAAGATTGCGACGGAATCCCAGATGTGGCAAATACGGATTTTCGACTTTCTAATTTTTAACTTTTGAAATGAGT